AGTGACATTGGGACTATTTAGGAGGAGGAGGGGTCATAAAATTTAAGGTTTTATTGGAAATTCAATGAAATTCAAAATTTTCAAGCAATACTGTAAAAACATGTTTTAATTTGAGACTTGCGATCTGGAAGCGAGACTTATAGAAATCTCAAGTATATAATCTCTGTATAAGATACCTCGAGCTCCGAGCGCTCGAGGCCTACCCCCACTCTCGGCACTTTTATCGCCTCCCGAATGTTTAGTTCCGTGGGCTTCTCACAAGATACCCATGATCTCGATCATTTTTCAACGGGAAAAGAGTGATTATAAGGAGCAAACGGAGTTAAGGGTCAAACGGGAGGGACGAACGAAGTGATCTCAAGGGTCAAATGACCTTAAGGGTCAAGAGTTCAAACGTGAGAGTCAAGTGAAGTAATCAGAAGGGTTAAACGATCCCAAGGGTCACCTCTTTTCTTCGACGCTATAATTATTAAAATGATGACGCAGAATTATCTTAATAGAATAAAGCCTAATTAAAATTCAATTAATTAACGTACTTTCAATAATTTGTACTTCAGCTGTCCAGAAGTGATTATTCTCAAGTCCCCCAACAATCCCCCAACATCAGCTGCCATTCTATCACGCGGGGTTATGTTTAGGGAGAAAAGGGAATGCGGACTATACGAATTCAAAACATTAAACTCGTATAAATTGATTAGTTATCAATATCCATTCAGTAAAAATGAATATTCCATAGAATTCGGACGCAACGAGCGAGGTATCTTATTTCAAACCGCTGATCCCTATTTTTCTCCTCCGGGAGTATACGGATGCCCGGGATTCCACTCTCCTACTGTCCCTAAGGTGTCTTATATAAAGCCTTGACTGTATCTACAAAAAATATTGAACACTTGTATTCCCAAAATGATGACCAAACGACAAATAACACATCATTGCATCATTTAAAAAAAATTTTACCTCCCCAAAACGGTCAATCCCCCATTTTTTCCATCCTGTCCTCCTTCGAAAAGCCTCGTCACAACATCAGGGTCAATCATCCTGGAATTTGTCGGCTCAAAAACTCGAACCGGAACGCGAAACGCCCATTGGAAGATCATCTATGCAGATAGAAACGTTCTGTTTTTTCTCCGCCGTTTTTTCTTTGCTATTGTGTCTCTCCTTCTCCAGCACACGTGAACCGTTGTGTCGATTAGTCGAACGCCGGAAACTTCTTTTTCTCATACTTCGGGTTCTTTCATTGCCTTACAATACTGAAAAAACTTTAATAATTTTTAGCTGAAATTTCTGGTTGTCTTGGGAAAGTTTTGTAGAAAATTCGAGGAATTTTGGATTTTAATAATACTACTGACGTGAATCCTGCATATACGTCCGAGAAAGGATTTCAATACAAATGAGTAAGAGCTCTCTTTCATTATGATATTACACCTGTCTTCGCTAATAAATTAGCGGTATGCTTCAGAATGATTCTAGCACGCGTACGAAAAAAAAAGAATTCACTGAAGAAAGAGTTGCAGAAAGATGAAATTCTATTGATTGTTTCCTAGAGAATCGCTTTCATTGGATATTGTTCAATGGAATAAAAACGCGCAGCGAAGCTGCAGAATTGTTGGATAGAATTGGCCAAAAACTAATAGAATTTTCTATCAAAAAGGAAAATTTGATGCTGAAGTTTAATTGAATGAAAAAAGAAAAGTGTACTCAGCCTAATCTAATCTAATTGAATTATAAGACGAAGAGAAAAATATTATTCTCGTCAGTACTCCCAATAATAAAAAAAGTTGATAAACAAAATATTCAACAAAAAATTTTTTTTGCTTGAATTGCATCAAAAAATCATTTTTCGACTGTTTCATTTTGCCTCAGTCCCATATATATGTTATTTTATTACAGCAAGAAATGAATTTTCTCTTTTTTTACAATTACTGTAAAGAAAAGATTACAGTACATAAAAAATATACAGATATCATATTACATTAGTTGATAAACGGAATAGGCTTCAAAAATCGTTACACTAGATTTTTTAATCTATTAAATTAATTAAATTAATGAATTATTAAAATTATCACTATTATTATTATTTAATAATTATAATCATCAAATTATTAATTATCAATTAATTAATTAATTGAATTATGTTGAACTAATTAATTGAATTAAATTAATTTAATTGGGTTCCATTTTAAAAAATATTAAAAAGTCATCGTGACTACATGAAATTGCTACAATTTCTCAATTGATCTAAAGCATTTTAAGATTTCGAAATAGAAATTTGGCAAAACACAATGAGTGCTCCCGTTCAGAAGCCCAATGTCTGACTTCTGCCCCTTCCGAGAAGAAATTTTCGACAAACCCGTACAGAGTTAACGGTTCAAAATCATTCAAGTCGGCTCCTCTGATGTCATGGGGGAAGAGAACGAGAACGAATAGGTTTGATGGCAGGGCAATTATATGCAGGACAAAGGATGTGGAACGACGTCGATTAAAATGGTCTTTCTCATTCACCTCGGACAAAAACGAGAGAATTTCGTGAAAAAAAGCCACTCCTCGAGATGTGAATATACATTTTCAGACACTCCGAGACAGAGTCTCTATCTAATTGATAGAATAAAATGTTGCCTACTGTGTCGTAAAATTGTCGTGAAAACGATCATTAAATCACTTGTCCGCTCGTAAATAATGCATGAGTATTTTCATTCTAATTTCCTCACATTTTTGTCTCTTCCTGTTTCATTCCGGATTTATGGCCTTCATTTCTCCTTTAAAACCTCATTTTGACGTATGGAGATGTATATTGAGGGATTATTAGGAAAATCACGGGAAATTTCACGGTAATTTAACCCTAGATTAGTCACCGTACACTGGGAGGAATTAGATGGTCCCCTGAAGGGATCTTTTTTTGTGTTGAATTGAATCAATTTACTCGCGGACATAAAAGAAAGTTTTCGCCAAAACGAAATTTATGTCTCGGGTAAATACGTTCGTTCTACAGAAAATTATATGAAGCTCCGGCTTTATCAAGTCAATGTTACTCCCAGATAAATTATTTATTTTATTCAAAGCTTTGTTTATATTTAAAAAAAATTACTATTAATAAATCTTCATTTGATCCAGATAAATTCTTAATTTATAGCAAATAAACAGTTTTCTTATGTTACAAAAATTTCGTTATTTCAATCCAATAATTTTTTTCTTTAAAGTAAGTAAATATTTATTTGATACTGAAAATTTATTATCGCTTTGAGTCGGTGGTAAAGTTGATATAAATAAATTCTTTTTCTATTTGTAATAAAAATATTCTTGAAATAAGTACAAAATTTCAAATCAAGATTTTTATTTGATTAAAAAAAACATTTTTATGGGTGTATTGAGTAGTGTATTTCTTTGTTCAATAAACACTTATTATTTTCATGGAACAAATGATAATGTCAAGAGGAAACTTCCAATTCTAATATATGACAGACACAACAGCATCAGTTGCCTGATTTTTTCACAAGTATTTCCTCCATAATTTACGAACGAATATTCTATTCAATCTAGAATCGAAATTGCTGATGAAATTCGATCAGTTTTTTGTTCAACACATGAAGTAATTTTAATTGAAAAATAAATGAGATTGCGTTGAGCTGTTGACTCACGAGACAACTCACACGATAATTCAGAGCTCAAAAACCGGAAGTTGCTATTGAAACTCTTTCACCAGTGTCGAATAATTCAAGGATAAAATTGGATTCATCGCATTTGGCGTTGTTTCAAGGCTTCATCAGTCACTCAAGGACTCAGACGTGAAATGATACAGGAGTCTGGGTAGAGGCAAGAGGATTCACTTACGCAATCCAATGCCAACTTGTTGCACCCGGAAATACTCAGCATTTCCAACGGATCTTCTCCCATTAATGTTGCCCTCTCCATCTTCGAAATAAAGAAATCCTCACGTGGAGAATAAAAAGTTGAGAATTAAGCACGAAACCGAGATGAGTTGATGAGGTATGAAATTTAAAAATGGTAAAACGATTATCTGCTCCAGGAACAAAAGAGAAGATTCATTTGCTGAGATGAGTGACATCAGAGGGAGGTGGAAAAAAGTGAATTAAAATTCCAGAATTTTTACGGATATCCAAGAATTTTTTACAGTTTTGTACAGTTCAGTTTAATCATCAATTTTGTTAATTAAATTGCGTGAGAACAATTGGAAAAAATCATGAATATTCAGCGGCATTCAAATTACATTTTACATGGAGTTACTATTTTTTTAAACATTCGTTGTTTATAAATAAATAGTTGAAATTGTTTAAGCTTTCGGAAACCTTAATTTTTAGGCATGAAATCGATTTCTGGTTAAATTCTGAATGGGAATCAATTTTTGACGAATACGAAACAAAATGGTAATTGATTGTTTATAAATTATTTGTGAAAAATGCTCTTCATTTTAAAAAATTGCAATTTTTTTTATTATCTCATCAATCTTCCTCCAAAAGTAATGATAATCGAAAAATAAGAAAATCATTGTAAATGTCCGGAAACGGGAATTCATGATTTTTAATCTACTTCGATACACTGGAAATTTTCTGAGTAAGCGAATTACAGAATTAAATTGTTCAAATTATTCAAATAGTATTTAAACAATTTGAACAAAATATTTAAACAAAATTTTGAGATTTCTCCGCTGTTTTTGGAAATCAGGGGATAGAGCCGTTTTTTTAACTTAAAAAATAAATTAAATTAGAATTACGAAATTAAAGTAAAATTTTCGATTGAAAACCCTAGTTTTGAGTCAATTTTTCTCTCCTAGAGCCTCCGAAACTAGAAAAATTCTAACGGAGAATTGAAATAGCATCGAAAACGTCACATTTCCCTTATTTTTGGTTCGAAATAAACTTAATAGCAGTAAATGCCACTCAAAAATTCAGTTAGCCGTCGACCTGCTAACAAAAAAGAAATTCGTTTGTTAATTTGAATGACATCAGGGAGCAGTGGAAAAAAGGTGAATTAAAATTCCAGAATTTCTAAAAATAAATATTCGATGTATTTGAGTTGTTACACTCATCTCCTCAACTCCATGAAACTCCTCCATCTTAAAAATTTACACACTATGTTTACAGATTCTAAAACTAAATATGATGATGACTCATCTGGGGGAGTTAATCGCAGGAATTTATGATTTCCACTCTACTTTGATACATTGGCAATTTGATGATCAACTGGGCTACGAAATGAATCTAAAAATTCGAGAGTTCTTATCGGTTTTCGTTAATCGGGAGATAAAGCCGGAGATTGGGAAGCCCCGGAAGTTTCGAGTTGAGACGAGTTTTTTTTTTCAAAAATTCGGAAATCCAATGAAGATAACGCACTTCTCACTCTATAAAAAATATTTTTACAAAACTGTTTAAATTGAACTAAAAAATAAACTTTATGAACATTAGACAATTATTTTTCATTATTTCCCTTATTGTTTTCATTTTTTTTAATGAACATCTTAAAATTCCGAAAAAAGCGAAATTGGTTCCAGGACCTTTTTGCAACTCTCACTGAGCTCCACAGAAAGGTCCGCCCACAATTTTCATTATCGTGCACTGTAAACAGTACATCATGCCACTAGACCAACAGAACCAATAAACTTCATGTCACATTCATCAGAGGAAACATGTTAGGCCCCGATAACGAAATTTCGCGTGACTAGGCTGCGACTAGGCACTGACTAGGCGCCGCCTAGCCAAGCTCTAGCGTCACTTATATCAGACCTCTCCCTCAAAGCTCCTCTCTCCCCTCTAGATCCCCGCATCCCCACCAAAAACTCGACCTCAACTCGACGAATCTCGCCTCCCCCTCCCCCTGACCGCTCCAAAAAACCGTTTCCTCCACTTGATGAGAGACTCCCTCAGGCGCGGAAGCCTTCATGCCTCGCCGGGGGTGGTCGGGGTACGGTAGATCCCCGTGAAGATGATGGACTGACTCAGCCTGTCGTACAACAGATAGATGAAGGGATGATTCGCATTGAAGACAGCTGGCTCTGCAGGTCTGCTGGACCTGAAGCTGAAGAGGGCAGTGGCAGCAGCGGCTGTTGTTCCCTCCTCGTTCAGCTCGATTTTCGCCCTGTGAACGGCATCCCCGAGGTGCAGGCCCTCCACATCCTCGACGAATCCTTTCAGGTCGGCGCCAGCCCTCAGGAGCTCGCCGGCTCCCATCTCCTCCAGGAGTCGACCCACCGGAAGCTGCTTCTCAACTGTGAAACGAGGGAGGGACACCTCAACTTCTTTCGATGGCATCCCGTCGTTGAGGATGTCCTTGAGCTCCTGGATACCCCTCTCCGTGGTCGTCATCCTCTCGATCACTTGTCTGAGCCCGTCACCATCGCCTGTGGCGTTCGGCGACTGGTCCAGGGTGCGGGCCATTGCGAATGGCGGCAGGAGGATGAACATGGAGATGTCCTCGCCCTTGTAGGGCAGCTGGAGGACGTGAGCTCCGAGCTCTTCGGACACAACTGAAATAGAATTGCGATTGTGAAAAATCTTGCCATTTTTATTGAACTTTTATTCAACTAGCAAAAAATTTTTCTTTATGAGAAAACATTTCAGGAGTGTAGACTTCAAGATTTTGTTGGAATGGGCTTCTTCATCTATAAAATCTATAGAGTCTACAAAATCTATAAAATCTATAAAATCATGAGAATCTGGAACCTCACGGTTACCCCTCCTACGGTAACGAATTCATTGTTGTCTATTAACAAATGATAGACAACAATGAATATCCAATAGAATTTTGCAGCGAATTCGCTGGATTTTCCGACGAATTTTTTTCGCACGTGATATCACGATTGAAAATGAACTTACTGTGGTTGAATGTCTTCTTCTGTCTCATGAAAGTGACCAAAGAATTCTTTGACCCGTAGAAGATGTCCCTCTTCGAATTAGTCCTATCGAATTTGCTCTGCCAGAGTCCCTTGAAGTACACGGCATTCACGAGGACGAGGTCGCTGGTCTCGTCGATTCCGTCAGACGGGATGAGGTCGTTGATGTGCCCTTTCGTGGTGTTGCTGACCCAGTCGTTGATTTGCACTCTCACTGCGTTGGGGTCCGCCTTGAAGTCCACTTTTTCGAGTTCTTGGCCGAAGAGGGCCAGCATGCACTCTCGAACCTTCTTGGCGCTGCTGATATAGAGGCGATTGGCGGTTTTGAATTCGTAACTCGATGAGACGTTTCCCTAGGGATGGATGAGAATGTTAATGACAGGAAGATGATTTTACCTCTTCAGTTTTCATGTGGAAAAATGAGAAACAAGTGGACAATTACATTTTTTATAAAGGAGTATAGTTATTGTTGGTAATAAATTAGGAATTTAGTGCTGGATGGATTCTCTTTTGATGAATTATTGTTTCAGTATTCTCTTCTTCTATTTTTGCTTGCCATAGTGCTATCATCAATTGAAATGGCATGAAAATTTTGCGGATAATTTCTGTCTGTCACATAATTCTACATTCAGACCCTCTCAAGAGTCGAATTCGTTTTCAGTCCGGGTTTAATCAAGGTTCAATCAAGGTTTAATCAGTGTATAGCCGGGATTTAATCAAGGTTTATTCAGGATTTAGCCAGAGTTTAACCCAGGTTCTGTCAGAAGTCAGTCGGGACCGTGAATCAATATGAATAAGTATTCAACATAATAGACTGGTACCTGAGTTTAATAGAGATAGAGATTTTGATATAAAAAGCTCATGACGGTATTGTGTAACTTGATAAGCAATGATGCTGTTCTCACCATTTTTCAACTTGATTAAGAAGACATTGAAATATACTTTTCAAGCCCTGATTTAATTGCTATTACTGATGATTCTTTCAGTAATCATGAAAAAACCGATTTTCTCTTTCAAATCGCGTAAACAATGTCCTGTAACTCAACAATGAATCGTGCGACGCCCATCATATTCTGATAGAGTCAAGAGGGTATTGTTAACAATTTTTTGAGCCATGACTAATTCCGTTTTGATGACAATTTTTTGAGTGATCGTTGACAAATCGATTTTTGGAAAAATTTTAATGTTTTCAAATCTGTATGAAAAATTGAATTAGAGTAATTACAAAACGTCCGTGAAAGCAAAAAATCTAAAAATTCAAAGAATATACATTTTTAAAAAAGCTCATTTAATTGCATTATGAGGAAAATTGTCAACAACGTCAATAGATTTTTATTTTTCTCTCCAGTTCTATTCCGTAGAAATGTTTGGGTAAATTTCCCAAATTTCTACTGAATAAATAATTCTTTTATTGAAATTTTCCGTTCACGGCCACATGTTGGCAAATACGTTTGGCAAATACAACTCAAATAAGCGAATCCAACTATTTACCAGATCCTCCTGGACCTTCTTGAAAGCCCTGTCAAGGGAGTACATCCTCTGAACATCAATCTTCGAGAGTTCTTGAGGTATCTGAAGTGCTCTTCTCAAGGACTCCTCTGTTGTTCCACGTGCGCCGAAGAACGCTAGGGTTAAGGCCTCGTGTAAACTGTGAGGACTGAAGAATATATTATCCTTGGACTCGATAGCCGCTGATTTTCTGAATGCGTCGAGTGTGAAGTTGAATTTGGACGTTGTCAGCAGGCTCTTGGCACTTGGATTCATTGCCTGTGGACTGTCGTTACCAGTCAAACATTGGGAGTTTGTTCTCGGGATTGTGCTGAGTAGAAATACACTGAGAAAAATATAAATTCCCTGGAACATAAAGGATGAATAGTTTTTATTGAGAAACGAGTCGATGCTTGTACGAAAGGATTTCGTGGAAAAATCTAGCGAATTCGCTTGAAAATTCGATTCAATTTCTACACAAAATTCTTTTAACTTCTGGCCAATTCTATTGAAAAACTCCGCTGATTTCTGAGTGTTTTTTTTAAATAGAAAATGTCCAATAGAAACTGTTTTATGGAAAAAATCAGTAATATTTCATCTTCCTAGACAATTTTTTTATTTAGACATTTTCTGTAGGAATTCCTCGACATAAATTTTAGGTTGTTTTTCCACTCTATTTTCCGTCTCTTTTCATAAAAAAACCAAACAAGAAAGCTCAGAGAATTTGAGCTGAGAAATTTCTATAGAAAATATCTCAATAGAATAAGTTGCATAGAAAAATCTGATTCTATTGATTTTTTTATAGAATATTTTCCATTGAATGTTTCTATTGAAAAACGTGAATAATCGAACATTTTTAATGCATAAGTGAACAAATGAATCGATATCTCATTAGATTTTGTCAACAAATGAATTTCCCTTGATTAATAATAATGAATAATAAAGAAAATGTCTCGTAATTTCATTAGAAAATTGCAAAAAATTTCTTCATTGAATAAAATCATGAACAATGATATAACCCGTTTATTTCAATGACGGTAGTCAGTATTTGATATTTTTCATTCGATTCTGATATCCCGCACTAAAAATATTGAGTGAATGCAATAACAACTAATTCAGTCCACATAACTCGAAAAACCGTTCACAAAGAATTTTATTGCCTTCCTGTATCACTGAGCGAATAATAAAAATTGCGGAAAGTCGCGTAAAAATTTAACTATCCCCACAAACAAGAAACAAGGACATAACGGATTTCAGAAATGCGCAAAAAAATTAAGAAACTAGCGTAATGTAAGGTTGCCCATTAATCATCGTAAGGACAGTAATCATGGAGTCGATGTCCTCCTTCTTGTTACCAAGAATTTGTCTCAGTGAATGCGTGATTAAATTATTACTCGGGGTCTCGTGTGACGGTTGCCAAATCGAGTGACGAAAATGATGATTTCGATTCGTTTCGTCATGGGAAATTGCCAATAATTGATTGGATTTGGAATGCAGTGGGAATCAGTGAATGGAAAAGTGAAAAACAGGTGGGCAATTAGTTTCATCATAACGTAGTCGATATATTTATGCTAATAAATAAGTAATTTGATTACGAATGGAATTTTTGTGACGATGTATTTTAAATTGAATTCACTGATTTCAATGATTTGATAATTTTTTATTGAATTCATTGCCCCAATGTTGACAGCCAATATTGACCCGACGTTGGCAGCCAACATTGCCCCAACGTTGAAATTTTTTAACCTTTCCCGGAATATTGGTTTCAAAATAAATTTTTTCAACAACAGATTATGCAATCAATCTCATGATCGAACTAAGTCAAGATGGTGTTGACAAGAATATTTTAAATCACAATTGGATTTATTAAACAATTATTTTGAATGATATGAACCAGAAATAATAGTTTGCCTCACAATGAATTCCAAGGAAATTAATTAATTTAGGAAATATTCACTGTCAGTGATGTAAATACATTTTGCACACATTGATATTGTTAGAAAATTATTTGTGGAATTTTAAGTGAAGAATCTTGAAATTTTTGACAACAGATTTACACGAAATTGTAATTTTCAGGTGAAAATAACTGAAAATTAATAAAAACTGTGAATATTACGGCAATAATTACTCGGAAGTCTCAATCTATTGAAAATTCAATTGAATGCGATGTCTAACATTCACAAAAGATTTTCAGATTCAAGTTGTCGTTGAAATATCAATTATTATTTAACACAAAAAAATTATTGTTGTAAATTATCAAGATAAATGAGAATTACATGAACGATTTGCTCTCAAATTGAATTATAATTCACAACAATTCAAATGCTGTCACGTATGAAAAAACTATTGAATTTCTATTGAGCTTTCTATTAGTTTTTAAAATTATTCTATAGTTTCATCGATAGAACTCAATTTTTCTAAAGAAATTCGGTTTTTATTACTCTCCGAGATTTTTGTCTAATTTTTTAATGAAATCACTTAAAATAGAGTGGAAAAACTTTTTTTGTCTGTAGAAAAGTTTCTATTGATCATTTACTATCAAATAAAATATTATTTAATATTTTGTCAATATAAATTTATGACGTTAAACATATTGAAATATAAAATGAAATAAATATGGATTTATTTAATTTATTTTTATCATTCTTGACCGGAAAAAGAAATAAAAAAATGTTTTCGCTCTCGTATGACTCATTTTTCAAACTCGGAATAGTGTTCTGCGGATGAGAAAGACTTTCACGTTAACAAAAAACGTGTATACGTGGAGAAAGCGGTTTGTGTGTGCATGAGATGGTCTCCTACGAATTGGGAACACCCGGTGTATTTCGCAATGCTTGGATCCCTCTCGTGCATACGTACACGGATTTGATTCGTTTTTTCCGGTGGGTATTTATCCATCGAGTTCAGTCGATCAGTGCAAGGACATGTCCCATTTGTAAACTATCATTGCTGGCTTGAGGTAAACAAAATAATTGCCTCCTACTCTGCATTTTTTACGTTTCCAATTAACATTGAAAATTAAAAATCAATGCTGAATGAATCAAAATGAATTGAATTCAATTTTTCAACGATTTCAAAACAAAATTAATTTAAAAAAATTAAGAACATTGATAGGTGTTAAATAAGTTTTAAATATTGACAAAAAATATAAAAAATATTCAGCTAGATTATTTGATAAAAAATGATGAAAACAAAATTTTGAAATGATTGAAAAAATTACTAATGATCTAATGAATAACATTCAATGGAATTGACAAAACGAATGCGTGTCTCCAGCGAAGAAGTGAAAGTGACTCTCTGGTGACGTAGGAATACCGACTGTCTTGAAAAATCTTCTCCAAATATTTTAAAAAATCTGTCCCTCCGCGCAGGAAAAAATTTCATGGAAGTACCTGGTGAATTCGATAGAAAATTCTATTGGATTTCTATTGAACTTCTATTTAAGATTCTATTGGTTAATTCCGCAGCTTCATCACTGTGCGTTTTTTGAAGAAATTTTTTTCTTATTTCATAGAAAACATCAGCAGATTTTTTCTATAGAATATTTTGCATTGAACATTTCTATTCGATAAAATGAAGGAATATTGTATTGAAAAGAAAATTCTATTGGATTTCTATTGAAATGCAGCTTTACAGCACATTTTTTTAAATAAAAAATTAAACAAAATAGAATTGACTAAAATTCTATAGAATTCAATAGTTTTAATAAAAAACTATCTTACTGAAAAAATCAGTATAAATCAATCTTTCAATACTGTTCTATTGAGGCATTTTCCAAGCTTTCACACTTTATTTTTCAACTCTCTTCATATAAAAAAAAAATCAAACGAAAAATCTTAAAAAATTATAGCCGCGGAATTTCTATAGAAAAATATGTCAATAGAATCAATTCAATAGAAAAAAAAGTCTATAGAATTTGATTTTTCAATAGAATATTTTCCATTAAACATTTCATGAAAAAAAATGAAAAAAAAAACACGAAAAAAAACTGCAGATGAACTGCGGAATTTTTCAGCAAAGTCGAACAAAAGCTAATAGAAAATTCAATAGAACCCCAATAGAATTTTCTACCGCATCCTTCGGGTTTTCCCATGAAATTTTTTCTCCCTGTCCAAAATTCGAAAGCCGTAAAAAGCCCCCGAACAAAATCGTAAACCGTAGTTATCGCTCTCCCGTGTGTCCACGAGGGTGACTAAACGCAGATGAGAGGCCTTCACGGTACACCGCCCGCTGATAATGAAAAATGAGCACCGGAAACAGTAAAAGAGGCACTTAAACTCTCAATCCGGTAAAATCCCATTGTTTTTTGCCCCCATTGTATCACGATGAAAATTGCGTATTTACGTCTTATTTACTCACCGACTTGTCCATTGTCATTCCGGGTGAGGTTACACCGGTGGAAAATGGAGAAATGTTGAGGATTAAAAAAATGACAAACGCTCGGTTGGACTTGACTGAACCGAATGAACGTGACAGGGAAGTCTCCGGACGCGCTGGTCTCTCCCCCTTTTTTCCCGACGAGAAATTCTTTTGACGTGTGTACAATGTACGTGACGCACTCATTCCCACCTCCAGGATTTTTTCGCGGGTGGAGTAGAGAGGATACGGAGCAGTGGAGGGAAATCCGAGGCGGAGGCGATGATGCTGAGGATCAAAGTGTATTTGTCGCGGCAGACGTGAGTGGAAGTTAATTTGTGGAGATGATTGTGAAAGAGGAACAGACATGGAGTCGAGGCTTTATATAAGATACCTCTCTATAAGATACCTCGAGCTGCGAGCGCTCGAGGCCTACCCCCACCCTCGGCGCTTTTATCGCCTCCCGAATGTTTAGTTCCGCGGGCTTCTTATAAGATACCTATGGCCTCGATAATTTTTCAACGGGAAAAGAGTGATTATAAGGAGCAAACGGAGTTAAGGGTCAAACGGGAGGGACGAACGAAGTGATCATAAGGGTCAAATGACCTTAAGGGTCAAGAGTTCAAACGTGAGAGTCAAGTGAAGTAATCAGAAGGGTTAAACGATCCCAAGGGTCACCTCTTTTCTTCGATGCTATAATTATTAAAATGATGACGCAGAATTATCTTAATAGAATAAAGCCTAATTAAAATTCAATTAATTAACGTACTTTCAATAATTTGTACTTCAGCTGTCCAGAAGTGATTATTCTCAAGTCCCCCAACAATCCCCCAACATCAGCTGCCATTCTATCACGCGAAGTTATGTTTAGAGAGAAAAGAGAATGCGGGCTATACGAATTCAAAACATTAAACTCGTATAAATTGATTAGTTATCAATATCCATTCAGTAAAAATGAATATTCCATTGAATTCGGGCGCAACGAGCGAGCTATCTTATTTCAAACCGCTGATCCCTATTTTTCTCCTCGATAAGCGCGCGTAGTGGGGGTACACGGATGCCCGGAAGTCCACTCTCCTACTGTCCCTAAGGTATCTTATATAAAGCCTCGACTGTATTGAGAAATGTTCTGTAAAAATTTTTCGGCTCAAACTTTTCCAATTTTTCTTATTTTCCAAGCGAAAAGAGAAAAAAATAGAGTTGAAAAACCTTGGAAAATTCATATCAAGGAATTTCGATAGAAAATGTCTCAATAGAAAAAGTGTAGAAAGATGAAAATCTACAGATTTTTTCCATAAAATAATTTCTCTTCGACATTTCCGATAAACACGCCCAGTAAAACTGCAGAATTAATTCTTCAATAAAATCCCCCAAAAACTAATGGAATATTCAATAGAAATTCAACCGAAATGTCTTCGAAATTTTTTTCTCCGCGATTACCTCGACGTTTTGCCATAACAATAATTCGATTATCACCAGCTACTCCTCAACTTTTATTTCCCCACACAGCGAAAAACTAGTGAAAGCTATCGCCTGTTAGTCGCGTATCTCCCCTCCCGCCACAAATGAAAACGAAACGGAGATCCGGCTAATATAAGTCGGGTCAAGATCATTGTCACGCTGATGTGGGCTCCAGGCTCGTTGAGGAGTGTCTCTGCGCGAATAAATTAGTAATACACAGCAGACTCCGCCGCGAGCGGTGAATCATGCAGACTGCTCTCAAAATTATGTAGTTTTCTTCCTCTCGACCCCCGCGCCCCCGCCCCCCCGGACGGGGCCAATTTTTAATCGTTATTTATGCAACCAGGGCACGTCGGTCACTCGTTATTTTTTATGAATTTCCTCTTGCACTCGAGTGTGAAATCAGCCTGATGAGAAATTCGTCGTGGATTTTATGCTGAGAGCGGATCGTTTGTTTCAATACGACGCACTGGATATGGCGGTTTTTATTGGAGTGCAAGCATTGAAGTTATGCAGTGAAACCAATGAACAATTGGAAATGAACCGATCAATTATTTTTTAAATTAATAAATTTAAAGGATTTCCTTAGTTCTATAATTTTTTTGGAATTACAATTTATTTTTCACTTATTTCCAACGCAATCGTGATCTAATTATGAATTAATTTTTTGTTTTTAATAATTGTAGATGTGATGTCAATAATTCTTCGTATCAGCCCGGGTTGTACCAAGAGGTCTCAAGTGTAATATAAGGGTCAAACACTGATTGTGAGAATATAAGGGTCAAAAAGTGGAGGTTAAAAAATGAGGGTCGGAATATTAGAGTCAAAAACTGAGGGCCTGAATGTAAAGGTGAAGGAATGAGGGTCAGAATGTTAGGGTTAAAAAAAGAGGGTCAGAATGTAAAAGTAAAAACAGTCGGTGTCAGGCAATGAGGGTCATATAAGGGCCAAAAACGCTGATCAAGCATAATATATGACTTATATTTTTGACCCTCATTGCTTGACACCCGCTTTTTTTACTTTTATATTCTGACCCTAATGTTTTGACCCGAATATTCTGACCCTCATTTTTTAACCTCCACTTTTTGACCCTTATATTCTGACACTTGGTGCCTGACCCTTATATTACACTTAAGAGGGCTTGCTACAACCCGGCCTGATACAAAACAATCATCTTCGAATTGAAATACCCATCCCCCAATTGAGTATAATAAATCCTGCTATATTTTTTCCGTGTTGTTTTTATTCTGTGGATTTTGAAAATTTCTTTTTTTGTAAATTCCAGTTCTCTGCATGGTGCAATGAGTACTGGAGTCAACTGCTGAGTTTTTAAGTAAAGTAGTGACCCACATAGCGGGAAAAATTGAAAAGATAAACAATATCACTTGTATTTTAACCGCGCCTCGGGCTCTTCCCCCTAAACGTCAAAGTAGTGTGAATAGACTCCTGTTGAGTCGCCGAGCGTAACGAGGAAAAAACAATCAAAAGGACAAAAAATATTCATTGATAACGCTTTTCACAACTTCTAAATTTGAGAAGAATTCCCATAGGAAATGTCTCAATAAAAAAACTGTATAGACAGATGGAATTCTAATAATTTTATCTATAAAATAATTCCTGTCGGATTTTCCATAAAAAAGGCGCACTAAAGCTGCCTAATTTTTTAATAGAATGAGCCCAAAACTAATAGACTGTTCTATTAATTTAATTCCATTTTGCTTTTCTTTTCATTAAAGAAATCAAACAAAAAACCAGAGAATTTAAGCCGAGGAAATTCTATAGAGAATACTTCAATAGAATAAATTTCATAAAAAAATCGAATTCCATTGAATTGTTCTATAGAATATTATCTATTTAACATTTCATTACAATCAGCCAAAACTAATAAAAAATTCACCAGAAATCCAACAGAACTGTCTATTAAATTTTGTCGTCCGCGTCACTTTAATTCCTCCCCCTCAAAACTGAGAATTAGTTCACTGAGCGATGCCCCACGCTGTAAACGTTATCACCGGGTCAATTTGTATCTCATGACTTCAATAAACGATCCCAGAGGCATCAAAACAAAACGCAGAAGCCGAGCTGAATTTCTCGAGTTGAAATTACAATTCTTACCTTCATTTTCATCATTTTTTCACCCGAACAAATTTAAAAAAACACAAACACAACTGAGTCCAATGAATATTGATTAATTTATCACTTCTTTTTTGTTAATTAACGAAGATTCATCTGTTAAAGTTCATTCAATTCGTCATTCAATGCTTCATTGTCACAATTTTCGCGTTAATCGTTTGAATGAGGGATTGGTCAGAGCTCGAACTGTCCGAAATCACTGAGGATCAGAGCTTTATATTCCTCCCGGGTGTTTGCCGGAGGCCGGATTTGTACTGGCGCCCTTCTCAAACTCAAAACTTACACACGAGTCTCTCGATTGGCGCGACACAATCACAGTGTGGCCCTGTGTAAGTGATTACACCAGCGTTCCAGCGTTTTCTCAAATACACGAGGTGACGTAGGCCGGAACGAAACGGGGGAAAATCCCAGGGAATATTGCTCATTGTACTAGTGTCTTGACAAGAAATTTTTATGCTGTGCTTTTTCAGGGATTTTATTTACGACTTGGGGAAATTGATGGTCACAAGTGGCCTTCGGAATACCGCACAAACTCGTGATTTATTGAGTGTTACACTGAGAGAAAAATCTGAAGTTCGATTTACAATAAGAAAATAGTTGAGGCATTTTGGTGAACGATACGATTTTTTTTTTGTATGCGGCACATAACATTATACACGGAGATAAATATTCAATAAAAATTACCAGAAAAAAGACGTCAAAATTACGTTTCGAAACGTAATCTGGGTGCGAAGTAAAATTCAATAAAAAGTGTCAATCGTCATGTAAATTCGACAATCTAATTGTTGTTACAATTACAAAATTATTAGAATTTCATCTTTCTATAGAACTTATTACATAGAAATTCTTGGACATGAATTTTCCAAGGTTTTTCTACTCTTTTTTCTTCCTTTGTCATTGCAGAACGATAACATTTGGAAAATTTGAGACGAAGAATTTCTATCGAAAATATATCTATAGAATAAATTGTATAGAAAAATCAAATTCTGTTGATTTCTTCCTATAGACTTTTTTTCCCACTAGAATAATAGAAACTATTTTATCGAAAAAATCAGTAGGAAAATCAGTAGGCCGAGCATCGAATCCTATTTATTTATATATTTTTTTAGGATTCTGCCCACGAGGGAATTCATATGGACGATTACGAGTGATTGCTATTCGTTTGGGTTTATTCTGAGTTCATTTGTATTTCATCCGCGTAGTTAACGTGGAAAAGAGTTGAAGGTTGTTCATTTCTATTATTTTTGGTCGTGTGAATTTTTTTTTAAACAGTGAAGACATTATTTGTTTTCGATTTTTTACATTTTTTGAGTAACAAATTGATACGACAGCGGAAATACCTAAATTATGCACTCTTAGAGGATTATTCCACGCTTTGATGCTGCGGAAATGTTATGCATATGTGAAATGAAGGATTCATGAATTTTCCTGATAACAACGAGGAAGAAAATGATTAAATTAATAACAATGATATAAAAAATCATATTCGCTGAATTCCTGATAAAAAAAAGACAACTACTAAGACATCTGCCATCTGTCTACTGACAGATGACAAGACATGAGACTTTTCTATTTAAAGTCGACCGTATAAAACCGAAATCGAAAATCATTAATGAATTACAAACCAAGCGTGAATGCAAGTGGATTTGGAATTTCCCAATTTCAATGAGGGTCAGTCACTTCAGAAAAACATTGTTTGGTCTTCAAACATTTGGCTCTGGGTAAATCCCAGATTATTTCCCTCTTCATTCTTCTTGGACACTTATCATTTTTCTCGCTTACTTGGTATCAATGTGTACACATAGCCATATATTCCTCAAGTGCATCTATAAATCTTCTATCAGGAAACATCGAATGCGGCATCATCTGTAGATTTTATAGGCATTTGATAGTACTGGTCATTTTATTATGAAAAAACGTCACATGAACAATTCATCACTGAAATGATAAATATTAATATTCATTAATGAATATTAATATTCATTATTTCAGTTGCGGAACGGTAACATAAAATAAATTAAAAAAATAGATTATTGTCAATTGAAATATCTTGATATGTTGGGTTTTCATGGATCACTGATTTATATTCAGTTATAATTTGTAATAACCAGTTATAGGTTGTAATGTGTAATATCCAGAGGTGGAATTTTCAGTAAATTTTTAGAATAGTCTTTTCAAGAACATTGACATCAACTTTTATTGTAAAAATATTTTCTATTATAAACTGCGTAGCAATATTATAAAAGTTAGGAATGCAGTCCTTTTTAATTCAATATTTCTTCATAAAAATGGATAGGAATACATAAACATTTCAAAATAGTCTAAAGACAAATTAAGATAGGAAAAAAATTCTTCCCTTTCTTCGTTTAGGTTTTTCCATCAAAATATTGACAGAAATATAGAAGAATTCTATTATAAATTGTGTAACAGAAATAAATCCTGATAATCCAGTTCTATTTAATTCAATATTTTTTCATAAACATGGATAGGAATTTAATACATGAAACATTTTTAAATATTCTAAAGATAAATCAAAATCGGAAAAAAATTCTTCTCTTCTTGCGTTCACTTTTTTCCGTCAAAATATTGCTAGAAATATAAAAGAATTCTATCATAAATTATGTAATAGAAATAAAACTTCAGTTCCTTTTAATTCAATATTTCTTCATAACAATTGATAGAAACTTAATTAATAAACCTTTCAATCTGTCAGAAGACGAATCAAAACAGGAAAAAATTATTTTCTTTTTTTCATCTCATCAATACGTTTCCCTACATTCACACTATTCATTCCAATAAGAATACTGTCGTCAGTGACTAAGGAAATTCACATCTAACTACAGTGTTCCTCGATCTTTTGATTAGAAGATGATTCGCTGGAATCATCTCGGGGAGCCCACACTGTCACATTGGCACCTCTTCTGTACGATTTTACAATTGTGACGACTGCCACTGGAGCGAATAATACTGCCAAAACGATGAAGTACCAGGCGTAGACCACAAACTAAAATTTCGGAGACAGTTATTTTGAGTTTTAAAAATTTTTTCAACTGAATTTTATTTTTCTCTCACCTGTTGCCTAATGTGTAATTTGAAAACACGTCCACTGGTGACGATGTACGTGAGGATGGTCTGCAAAATCAGGGACACTAGGATGTTTATTCCAAATACTAGGCCGTAGCTGTCCTCAGATATCTTCTTTGCCACTTCGAAACTGGGAGAGACAACAAATAAAATTGGAGTTCATTTAGTTTTTGAGAAATAGACCAAGAATTTCCATTAAATTTCAATTAAAATTCTGCAATAGGTATCTGATAGGAAAATATTGATAGTTCTCATGATATAACTTATTCTGTTTCTTTTTAATGCAAAAAAAACCTTGTGCACGAATTTTTCCAGTTCGATTTCTCAATTTTCAATTTTAATTGGTTAAACTAATCTTTATAAATAAAAATAAAAATAAAATTAATCTTTATGTTGAGAGAACTGATATTTCTATTTCACTCTAAACTTCTTTATCACGTGATTTTTAATTATCACGGTTTATTTTTCACTTCTTATTTTCGATCCCAAATAATGATTGTTTAATGATGCCTCAGATGAAAAATCGACAATGAAAATATTCAAATATGGAAAAATCCTAGACTTCTCTGTGAACACACCTAATAATAATAATAATAATAATAATAATAATAATAATAATAATAATAGGAATGCCTAGCGTTTTTTAAAACAAATTCAACTGAGTTTTGATTAGAAGCCTACAATTAAAAATTATGCTGGAGTACCATTAGAATTTTATGTAGAAATGCAGTTTGTTTTTTGCGGCACTCTTATTGAAGATTATGCAATTTTACCCTGTCATTTTGTTAACATATATTTGATAGAAGTCAATGAATTTTCATTTTTCTGTAAAAATTCTGGTTCGAGAATTCTTCTGGAAATAATCTTAATAGAATGAGTTACACGAGAAAATCAACGTCAATCTTTTTCTATATACAAATATCGGTTTAAACTTTTAATATTTAATAGATTTGATACAAAAAACAGATAGAATTTTTTAATAGAATTCCAATAGAATTTCTTAAAGAATACGCCAGGATCTTCTATTATTTTCCATTTGCTACGCATGTTCTTGATATCCCCTTGACAACTCACCTAGCCACAGTCACAATCGTATGGTAAATGACCCCAAAGGTGATGTAAAGTGTGTAAAGAACCCAAATATTATAATTATGTGCTGTCACAAACAGTAGGATAGCTTCGATAAACGTGAAGACAGCTAGCATAGCTTCACCCAAAAAATCCCAGTTAAGTCTTAATCTTCCAATGGCGAAGACAACAGCAGCACCTGTCGAACAGGAACAAAACATCTCGAGAATTTTAGAAAGAGAAAAATTGGAATCGGACCAGTAGTTTTTGAGATATTTAGCAAAAGAGTTTCACATACGAAGTTGAACATCTCCGAAATTACTGTCCCGATTTCGCAAAAAATTATATGTTCCTCTGAAGAGATCTTTTTCCGTGTTGAATCAATCTACTTGTCAGCATTGTCATCAGATCCGACGATAATTCATCGGATTGAGTATAATATCCCGTCGAGCTGCGATATCAAACAAAAATTGAATCAACGCTCGCATAAACCAGAGTGATGCAACAATAATTGAAGCTTATGTTTGAGTTTTATTGATGCGTTTGCAGCCCAACTGTTTGCATATCAAATGTCATGTTTGTGGAAGGGAATTCATACCAGTTGTGTTGGAATCGTAAACGGTTTCATTATGCCATTTGTGGTGGGAGGAAAATCTAAGAATAGGAAATTTCTCGGTTTTCTGTCTTTCATTGCAGATTTTGATCCAACTTGAGCGATTTTAAATACAAATACAAGTAAATAGTTGAGTTGACTTCCTCTTGGCAACTCTCTGTTTATTGACATCCTTGAAAATAATAAATTTAATTGTAAACAAAAATTAAGTTTCCACCAAAGCAAGATAATTTTCGTAGTAGTAATTGTTCTCGTGTTCTAGTGAAAAAAACTTATAAAATTCGTGTTGAATCCCTATAGAAAATGTCTGAATAGAAAAAGTTCTATAAAAACATGAATTCCTATTTATTTTTCCTCAAAACTAGTTCATGTTGGACATTTTCTATGAAAAAAAAGCGCAGTAAAGCTGCAGAACTCGAACAGAATTTTCAATAGAAATCCAATAGAATTTTATATCGAATTCACTCGGTTTTTCTATAAAATTGTACTGCCTTGATTACACACACGAAAAAATTTAATAGAAAAACCTATCGAATTCGTTAGAAAATTCTATTGAATTTCTATTAAACTTACTATTAGTTTTTGGCTGATTCTATTGATATGTTCAATAGAAAAAGTCAACAGAATTAGATTTTTCTATATAACTTATTCTTTTCATATATTTTCTATACACTTTGCTCGACTCAAATTTTCTAAGTTTTTTTCATTCTATTTTTCTTTTCTTCTCATCAAAAAAATAAAACGAAAAAACTTAGAAAATTTGAGCCGAGGAAATTCTATAAAAAATATCTCAATAAAATAACTTATATAGAAAAATAGAATTCTATTGACTTTTTCTACTGAACATTTCCTATTAAAAATTTCAATAGAATCGGCCAAAAACTAATAGGACAGTTGAATAGAAATTCAATAGAACTTTCTAACGAATTCGATAGGTTTTTCTATTAAATTTTTTCGTCCGTCGAGTGGAAAAATTGAAAATATCAAAGAGCATGAAAAAAATATTAAACGAATATCAAACGATCTTATCACGCGCCCCTCAAGATCCATTAAAAAAAGCCGTGAACTACGATAAAATTCTTGCGTACCGATGATAGAATAGAGTGCTTCAACAGCGCCGTTGTATATCATATCATCTTTCTCAACAGCAGTTTGCCAGACGGGCTGACTGTAACTGAGCACTTGGAGATAACCACAAGACGCTGCTGCCCACCATAATGACCATTTGAGCACGTGAAAGCTCGTGTAAGCTTTCAGGAAGTCCTTCCACAGCAGATAATACGCTGTTTTTATCTTAAGAATGAGGGGCCTTGTGTCGTACACCTGATGACCCTTTGAGTCGCACGAGGCCTCCACCCCGGAGCCTGTTATCGCTTTTTCACAGTTGGAGTCCCTCGAGTTGATTATGAATCCTTTAATTGGGGCGGGACGGTGGAAGTACACGGACTGCTTCACTGGTGGGAGGAATAAGGCCCATATTGTTGCTAGAACTTGACCTGTAAAATTTTTTTTCAATTGATGAAATACATTTTTGATGATTCAAGTGTGAGAACATTTGGGTAATGGGTATGATTACTCATTAAGGTATATCCCAAGACAATATCACCCAAAACTTAATTTATTAAGTTATTACTTGAATTACTCTTGAAAGTTCAAGTGAAAAATTAATTTTTTAATTAAATTAAATATAGGTTGTCTATAAATTCACGAGCACTGCACGATAGTTTAACATTACACGAGCAAAAACCATCGATTTTAATTGTGGAGGCTATACTCGACATCACCCGAAAATTTCTCATTACACAGAGTCGTATAGAAAAATGAAATTCTATTAATTTTTTTACAAAATAATTTCTATTGAACATTTTCTACCGAATTCGTTAGGTTCTCGTATGAAATATTTTTTTCATCTGTATTACGAAGATAAAAATGGTTTCCATTACCAATACACAATTGCGAAAGATGAAAAATCAAATAGTTGAATAATTTCAATAAATTTAATAAATTATGGGTCTAATTACTTTGAGAATCTCATTTTCTTCCTCAACATGTTGTTATCAACAAATATTGTTATCATTCACGCACCTCCAATGGTGAGAAAATTGAGCTGATGATAATTCATGAGACGAAACGATATAATTAGCTGTGACACTGTGCTGGCGAAGAATCGCCCGAAGAGAAAAGCAGACCTCGTGTAGCTCGACACCTTCTGATAATGCTTCCTATCGACTTTGGCATAAATGTAAGTGTAATAAGCCACGTCTGTCGAGAGATAAAGGCCGTACATGACCTCCAAGAACTGCATTACTTCCAGGCTGTTTCCGAAAGTCAAGGCGCTGAATGCGACTATTCCAGATACTCCGCAGAGGATTATTATCGGCTTGTACCTGAGAAAATCCGTGAGGAGGAATATCAGGACGAGGGTTGCACAGTAGCTGTAGGTGCCAATTGGATAAATGTCTTCTGTCACCTAGAACAAGTGGACAATTGCATTTTTTTATAAATGAGTATAGTTATTGGTGTTAACAAATTCGTAATTTGCTTCCGAATGGATTCTCTTTTTTTAAATTCTTATTTCACATTCTCTTCTTCTATTTTTTCATGTCACAGTACTACCATCAATTGAAATGTCATCAAAATTTTGCGCATTATTTCGTTCTGTCAAATAATTCTACATTCAGACCCGATCAAGACTCGAATTCGTTTTCAGTCCGGGTTTAATCAAGGTTCAATCGAGGTTTAATCAGTGTATAGCCGGGATTTAATCAGGGTTTATTCAGGATTTAGCCAGAGTTTAACCCAGGTTCTGTCAGAAGTCAGTCGGGACCATGAATCAATATGAATAAGTATTCAACATAATAGACTGGTACCTGAGTTTAGTAGAGATAGAGATTTTGATATAAAAAGCTCATGACGGTATTGTGTAACTTGATAAACAATGATGCTGTTCTCACCATTTTTCAACTTGATTAAGAAGACATTGAAATATACTTTTCAAGCCCTGATTTAATTGCTATTACTGATGATTCTTTCAGTAATCATGAAAAAACCGATTTTCTCCTTCAAATCGCATAAACAATGTGTTGTAACTCAACAACGATTTGTGCGACCCCCATCATATTCTGATAGAATCAAGAGGGTATTGTTATCAATTTTTTGAGCCAAAACTTTAAGATACTTGGATATTCTTAAATAATAATGAGTACAACACATCATCTAAAAATGATTTACCACAAAAAAGGAATTTTTATGGAAAAATTGCAAAAAAATCAAATGAAAGAATTTTTTAATCTCAAGTCCTGCAATTTATTTTTCACATTCAAAGGATAAATTGACGATTGTTTAATGAATTCTGTGAAATTACCTGCTTCGATGTGAAATTTTTCCATTCAGACGTGAGGTAATCAGTGATAAAAGGCTCTCCAGGTCTGAATTCCTTGAGAAACCCGAACATGCACAGAATCTGGGATATCCTTATCCAATCCATGGTTAATGAGCTATTTCGTTAATTAATTAGAGCTGCAGCCGCTCGTTTTACTTCCGAAATTCACCGGTTCCCAAATCTAGGTCATGATTGTTAAAATCAAGATGGGACACACGTGACGAACACACGTGAGTGACCCGTCACGTATTTATTTTTCGATTTAATGAGGTTTCGAGAAGAATTAATTCATTCAATTTTTATTAGAGTATGTACGTCATTTGGAGCAATTTTAAATCACTCGGGGGATGTGGAACGCGGGGAACAGCTGATCGCACTACTACCATTCACAACTCGGCGACTACGAGTGCGGGTGGGAGGTTTTATCTAAGCTCACTACGTTGTGGATAGATATATAGATCTGTACGTGCGATACTCGCGCTATCTGCAACGGCGAATCCACGTGCTTTTTCAAGAATTCTAAAATTAGAAGAGGAAGTCGAGGAGAGGAGATTGTTGATCTATGGAATTTTAATGGCATTTTTTGATTATACAGAAAATGAAAATTAATAAATTTGAGGAGAAAAAGAAGGGAATTCGTGGGAATTACGATGATGGAGGGAATTCAGTCATCGAATTTTCAGGGGAGAATAATCAATAGACATTACTACTTGTTTGGTGGAAGAAAAAACATTTCGAAGGATTTATTGTGGAAATTATTTTCATGACTGAGTTCAATTTGTTTTTTATGAATTTAAATTTTGATGAAAACAATGGAGATGAGTGACTTGTCTTACTCATTCGTGACTGAAACCACTGATCTCGAATTCCAAGGGATTGATACTAATGTGCAATGAATTTACTTCTTACGGAATTAAATTTTCAGACGAGAATTTCAGTAATTGGGTAATTGGTCCTCCAGACAGTTCTAGAAACTTTGGATTTTTTTTTCAATTTAATTATTTGACTGGAATAAAATGAAAAAATTTTAGGAAAAAAAATTTAGTGAATTAATGAGAATTGCGATGATGTAATAATCAATAGAAATTCATATTTGTTTGGTGGAAGAAAAAACATTTCGAAGGATTTATTGTGGAAATTATTTTCATGACTGAGTTCAATTTGTTTTTTATGAATTTAAATTTTGATGAAAACAATGGAGATGAGTGACTTGTCTTACTCATTCGTGACTGAAACCACTGATCTCGAATTCCAAGGGATTGATACTAATGTGCAATGAATTTACTTCTTACGGAATTAAATTTTCAGACGAGAATTTCAGTAATTGGGTAATTGGTCCTCCAGACAGTTCTAGAAACTTTGGATTTTTTTTTCAATTTAATTATTTGACTGGAATAAAATGAAAAAATTTTAGGAAAAAAAATTTAGTGAATTAATGAGAATTGCGATGATGTAATAATCAATAGAAATTCATATTTGTTTGGTGGAAGAAAAAACATTTCGAAGGATTTATTGTGGAAATTATTTTCATGACTGAGTTCAATTTGTTTTTTATGAATTTAAATTTTGATGAAAACAATGGAGATGAGTGACTTGTCTTACTCATTCGTGACTGAAACCACTGATCTCGAATTCCAAGGGATTGATACTAATGTGCAATGAATTTACTTCTTACGGAATTAAATTTTCAGACGAGAATTTTAGTAATTGGGTAATTGGTCCTCCAGACAGTTCTAGAAACTTTGGATTTTTTTTTCAATTTAATTATTTGACTGGAATAAAAATGAAAAAATTGTAGGAAAAAAAATTTAGTGAATTAATGGGAATTACGATAATACATTAATTGATAGAAATTCATATTTATTTGGTGGAAGAGAAAAGCACTTCTAGCGATTTATTATGGAAATGATTTTCATGACTGAATTTAATTTTCTGGGGCTTGAGTCAAGGTGATTGGTTTTATTTCTATGAATTTAAATTTTAATAAAACACTAGCCCTAGGCAATCTAGCAATTGGCTTCACTCGCCTCGTCTTACTCATGCGTGACTGGAACCACTGCATCCCAATTCCAATAAATTCATTCTCATTTGAAATTAATTCACTTCTTATGGAATGAAATTTGTAATTGGGCCTCCAGAAATTTTTAGACACTTTGTTTTTTTTGCAATTGTTTAACTAAAATCAATGTTAGGAGAAAAAAAAATCTAATGAATTAAATAGAATTACGATGATGCAATAATCGACAGAAATTCAAATTTGTTTGGTGGGAGAGAAAAACGCTTCTAGGTATTTATTATGAATTTAATTCCCGAGTGCTTTTCCCTCTTTCTCTTTTTTCTTGCGCTTTATGTCTATTAAATGAAATTTTCATAAAACACTAGGGCCAACTGACTTCACTCACCTCGTCTTACGCATGCGTGACTGTAACCACTGAACTCAACTAAATAACAGATTTTTCCACTGCATTTCGATTGACTCTATTTTCTTCCGTTTCTAGTGTTATCATGGCCAAAAATTTAATGACGAGATCCATTAAACCCCAACATATCGGCATATTCCAATAAATAATAATCATTAAACAAATTGACTCCATATTACAACGAAAAATTATCGCAGCAAATGCCATCTTATGAACACACTAAAAAAGATTAAAAGATTAACAAAGTGAATAATAATTGAACAGATAACGATGAATAAATAATGCTGTGATGAATTATCCACGTAATGTTTATTGTAATAAAATGACCAGAACTAAATAAATTCTATGAAAATCCAAAGCCTCGAATTTCCAATATATAGGATTTATTAAATTATTACAGTCATTAAACGAGAATACACAATTTATACAGATACATATATATATTATATATATTCCATTACTGTCTATTTAATGCTCTTGTATATCCTCACACGTTATTACGACTCTCACTCCACTCCATCTACTCCATGATTTCATCAAAATATTCTCCATGAAAAAAAAACGTCGAATTAATTCGAATTCTTCGGTTTATTAATTTTTAAAATGTCTTATTCACTTTTCTCGTTTCATTCATTGGTTATCAACGGAAGAATTCGTCACGTTTGGTTTATTATCGCTACTCTCGTTGTTGAAATACAATAGATTCGTTATTTGTCCGTCAGTATCGCTCACGCGCTTCATCAGCATGAGAGGATTTCTTATCTTCATTAATAATCTCGATGGGTATTTATTGATTCAGACGTTCGGAGACTGAATAGCATCAGTTAGATAATGAAAATAATACTTTTATCGAGCCTCTAGTCGTTCCTTGTCTCATAGATTTTATTTCAGTAGTGAAGAGGTGAAAAAATTACACTCAACGACAGATTAATTTTTGGGAGTAGCTCGAAATCTAGGAGACAGCGAATTTTTTGAGATTTTTTCAGGACAGAATGACATTCGAAAATGTTCTTAAAAGAATTTTTAAGACCCTCTGATCCCCTGATATCTTTCAGAGACTAAACTTATGGTGGAATTCAACGAGAAAGTCTAGTTTAGAGTGATTTTCAGAAATTTTTCTAAAGATCTTTAAATTATAATGATAATGGTGATAAAGAGGTCCTACGAAAAAATTCACCACTTCACTACTGATTTAGATTTTACACGTGTGAAAAAATTTAATAGAAAAATTTATCGTTTTCTGTGAAAATTTCTATGGTATTTCTATCGGAATTGTAAGAATTTTACTGGAAATAAAATTCGAATGGAATGAGATAGAATTCTTTTAAATTTCCATTGATAGATTTTTACTTTTCTACATGAATCACTGAAATTTTTCCTGTGAGAATTCCTTCCTGTGAAAAATCTATTGTTTTCTCTGGGAGTTTCTATAGTATTTCTATTGGAATCCCGTAAGAATTTTATTGAGAATAAAATTTAAATAGAATAAAATGGAGGTCTTTTGAGTTTGCCGTTGAAATTCTGTTGAAAATCCTGAAAAATACATTAATTTGACAGAAAAAAGTCGATAGATTTCGATTTTTCTACTTGAATCATTAAAATTAATCTCGTAGAAATTCCTGAACATGAATTTTCTACTTTCTTTTTATTTCATTTCATTCTTTATCACAAAACCCAATAAAAACCCTGAAAATCCATGCCCAAGAATTTTTTAACCGAATCCCAACATAATAAGTCGTAGAAAAAAAGAAATGCACAGTTACTGAGCAAGATTTTTCTATTAAATTCTCTGATACACGCGGCAAATTGTTTTTATTGAGCTAGTAACTCCGGGTTTGAGTGGAGCAATAGCGAGAAATAAATGGATTATTCCTTATATTTTCCAATTCAACGAAAATAATTTATCATTTCACTGAACCCCAGAGTCACCTGATTTTATTTTCAATCTTCAATCGTTCAACATCAGCAATTACATTCACAATACCCCAGCGTCCATAAATTTCTGCATTTATTATTCACAAAAAATCTCAATGCCTCGAATTTCGTTGAATGTACAATTATCTCGGACACTGCACAGCAATCGGTCACACAAGCCCCCCCGACAATCGCAATTACTCAGTATTCTTTCATTAAAAATGATGATTACTCTTCATTATTACGACTTTTAAATATTAATTAGACATTTACAAGTAGTGTTTAATCTTAAATTATTATATTACTTTCTAAATTCCATTTCGTTGCTGTGCAACATGCCCTTCATTGATTAGTGTTCTATTTCTTCTCGCTCCTTATTCCATCCAAAATGTACAATTATCATCAAACGAACAATTTCAGCTTTGGCAAGGTGACAGTTCGACTATTTTCATGTTATTTTAATTGTCTGCAATGTCTGTTTCATATTTGAAAATAAAAAAAATCAGTTATGAAACGAACAAACGGTTTAAGTCGATTTAGGCCAGAGTTTTTTAGAAATATCTCCGAATGTAAGGGAGATAACGAAATTTGCATGAAGACCTTTTTTGTAGCCCTGAATCCGCCCTACAAAAAAGGTCATATACAAAATTTTGCTATCTACCTTAGATTCCGAGATATTCATTAAAAACTGACCAATAGTCAAAATAGTCGAAATGAACGTAAACCGTTTTACCCCTTCTACTGAATTGTGGTCGTAGGCAACAGCAGAATGTTGAATAGTACGATTTACTCGTGAGTATGCTTGTGGATATTAATACCATTAAATTATTTGCAGAGGACTAACTTCAGTGAAAAATAATCAAATGCAGTGTGTCCAGGGATGACTGTTCCATTATTTCTATCAGATATTTTTTCATGATAAAAAAACTTGATGATGAAATTAACTTCAAGGTGAATTTTGATGAATATTTCCGAATTTAAAGACACATTTCAGCAGCGAAAGGATAAAACAGTTCAAGTCGACTTGGCTCTTGCTGAGTTTTTGAGAAATATCTCCGAATCTAAGGAAGATAGCGAAATTTTTGTAATAACCATTTTTGTAGCTCTCAATTCGCCCTACAAAAGAGGTCGTAACGAAAATTTTGCTAGCTGCCTTAGATTCCGAGATATTCATTAAAAACTGACGAAAAGTCAAAATTGACATGAATCGTTTTAGCGCTTCAAGGACTTAAATCTCGCGAAAAAATCTCATTTCACCTCTCCACCACTGAGTTCATCCCCAAGTATTGAATACCCTTTGTACTCAATTAATAACAACACGTGACTACTCGATATCCTAGCGTCACTAACCCCCTCGACCCCAGCATTCCACCTCGTGCTTCCCTCAAATTCATCAATCAAATTCCCTAAATTGATAATCAGTTTCATTCTCGAGTATCTGAAATGCACATACAGTGTAAATTCTTCGGTGTAAAGCATAATATTCCGTAAAGACTGCCGAAGGAGGAACGGAAATAAATACCTCGATGATATCTGTTGCAATTCACTGTTCAAATGCTTCAATCAATTTCTAATAATCACCATCAATTCCAATTGAAAGATTCCCACGCACGAAAAAGTTTAATGAAAAAACCTAGCGAATTTGCTAGACAATTGTATTGGATTTCTATTGAACTTTCTATTAGCTTTTGGACGATTCTATTGAAATCTCCAATAGAAAATCTATAGAAAGTCTACAGAATTCTATTTTTTATACAAGTCATTCTATTGAGATATTTTCTATCGAATTTCCTCGCCTCAAATTTTACAATTGTTTTTGTATCATTTTCTCGATGACGAGAAAAAAAAAGAATTAAAATAACTTGGAAAATGTTAACAGAAAGTCCAATAGAAATCCAATAGAACTGTCTAGCGAATTCCCTAGGTTCTTCTATTCAATTCTTTCATACATATCGTTTAATCAATTAATCTTGTATTAGAAAAAAAAACTCTACAAACTCCTTCGAGGTAGAAAATTTCAAATAAACCAAAGGAATCAGTGCAGTACATCCCCTCCCTTCTCCATAAGAAATGAGAGGTTCAACTGCAATCAAACCTCCGAAATTTGTACAAATAACGATAATATAAAAAACGACATTCAAAGCGTTTCTGCAGTTGAGTTGAAAAATTCGTGTTTTTTACATTGAAAAAATTTGTGCCACAAGTGGTAAATGAAATTGTGCTGTTTTGTTAGAAAATTGTTTTCATTATCTCACGTAGCAAAATATCCTTACTCGTGCCTGCACGTACAAGTGCAGTGATATTCATTGAAAAACGATAGCAAAACTTCATAGCAGTAAATTAATAAGCGTAATCGGTCATCGATCGCATAAATAAGAAAGAATAAAGATAAAGAATGTTCTCGTGGCTCAGTTTTTCTTTTCCCCTATTGATTTTTTCAATACCATCAGCACATTTAGGGATAAAGCAGATGTGGGAATTAATTTACAGGATTCGAAGACATCGTCCTCGTCGTTCTTGTGATTTATTCGTTTTAATTTTGTTCAATTTGTTGTTCTCCTTTGGGGACTGGAGAGAGCACGGTTTTTACGAATCATGCGGCATTTCGTTATTTGGACGTTTGATGTTTCAGCCTGCCCTAGGGGGACGAATCGGGCTCTTCTCCTCTGAGTCTCAAGCGGGCGAAATCCTCGAAGATTATGTCGTCTTCATTGTCGTCACTGGAATTATTAATTGGGGACTTTAGGGGATTGAAATCAACGTTTTGATTTATTATTTGATGGTTTATGAGAATTGATATTCAGAAGTGAATTGGATCAATAAATTATTTCTGGGATATTGAGTCGATTTTTATCCTAATAAAGATCTAACTAACTAGTCAATTGATTAATATTACTCTCCAATCATTAATTATTAAATTAATCATCAATTAAATCTTCAAATTATTTGGATAATCAAAAATCCGTTTTATGAAGTTCAGTATTGTTTACTAAATGGCCAATTGCCAGTCCCATATTATCAGTTATTTATTAATTACAGTCGAGGCTGTATATAAGATACCTCTCTATAAGATACCTATGGCCTCGATCATTTTTCAACGGGAAACGAGTGATTATAAGGATCAAACGGAGTTGAGGGTCAAACGGGAGGGACGAACGAAGGGATCATAAGGGTCAAATGACCTTAAGGGTCAAGAGTTAAAACCTGAGAGTCAAGTGAAGTAATCAGAAGGGTTAAACGATCCCAAGGGTCGCCTCTTTTCTTCGACGCTATAATTATTAAAATGATGACGCAGAATTATCTCAATAGAATAAAGCCTAATTAAAATTCAATTAATTTACGTACGTTCAATAATTTGTACTTCAGCTGTCCAGAAGTGATTATTCTCAAGTCCCCCAACGATCCCCCAACATAAGCTGCCATTCTATCACGCGGATTTATGTTTAGAGAGAAAAGGGAGCGCGGACTATACAAATTCAAAACATTAAACTCGTATAAATTGATTAGTTATCAATATCCACTCAGTAAAAATGAATATTCCATAGAATTCGGGCGCAACGAGCGAGGTATCTTATTTCAAACCGCTGATCCCTATTTTTCTCCTCTCTATAAGCGCGCGTAGTGGGGGTATACGGATTCCCGAAATTCCACTCTCCTACTGTCCCTAAGGTATCTTATATAAAGCCCTGACTGTGTTTTATCATTTTTTAATTTCGATGATTACATGTGAACCTCAATCAATGTAATACATGAAGTCGAGTTATATCTCATTTACCTCCTCCCAAAATAATTATTAATAACTCGTGAAATGCAGGTGAAGAATGGATCCACAACAATTCGCCCGTCTCAACAATTAGTCAATCGGAGTAAATAAGACCATTCAGGTGCTGTCAATATCAGTATTCTCATCAGAATTGTCATTCCCCCTTCATCCACTCCCCAAAGCCCCCTAATGAATCACATTATTCGCCTTTTACGCTCAAGAGCGCACATGAATATTCTGAATGCTGTGAATGCCTCGGAACAGTTTACAGAGCCCCCGAATAATAATGTCCCGTGCCCATACCAACAGAATCCAAAAGGAGAAGACAACTTACGCATCTAACTGAATTAAATTCCCCTCGTTATTCACATGAACATCGCCATTCTCGATCCTTTGCGTTGGGGCCGGTCGTGATGGCTGTTCCTCCTCCTCCGGCTTCGGGTGCATAAGGATGAACGGTAGTTCCGCAACTAGATCACTGGAGAATAAACAAAAACTAAAACAACACTCCTAAATATGCCGAGTAGAATTCTGCTGGGGAGGGGTGAAACAGGATACACTGAGAGAAAAACAAACACGTTGTCGAACAAGACTTGTTTGGGCCAACAAAATCGCTAGTTGAAAATTGCCAAAAAAGAATTTGTTTGGTTCAAATTTGAAAATCTCAAACATGAATAATTGTTCTGCTTTCGACAGCAACGAAATATTTGGCTCTAGAGGCGGATAATTCCCACCAGACGGTGCCTTTTCAGGATGAAAATATCTCATAGAGGAAAATTTATCAACAAATATTTTATCCCTAAGTTACAAGATTGCTATCATATCATTATTATTGTTTCATTTAAGGGTTCATTTCTTGTTTTGATTATTAGACAGCCGAAAGGAAAAACTACTATCCCTTGTTCCGCATAAAACAAAGATTTTTCGGGAGCAAAATACGTATGGGAGTATCGAATAACGAAGGAGTAGTGCTAGATATTTCTTGTGTGTACAGAGAATGCAATTTTTTTTGAACTACTAAATCTATTTTTGCGACAAAAATTTTTCATTTCGGCACACTCTCTGCATGTTTGGCACAAAAAAACCCTTTTTTGATAATTTTCAAAAAACTATTTTCTTGTCACAAGTAAGACTTGTTTGAGAACTTTGTCGTTTTTCTCTCAGTGTAGGATCCACCAATTAAAAATTGAATTTTAATTTGTGTCAATGAATCGAGCTGATTGAAGTCTGTATTCATGAAAAAATTCATGAATTTCGATTGATCACGTAGTTACCCTGACACACATTTAGTTAACCGAACACAAAAAATTGGAATCTTAAATTTGAGTGATTACGAAGCTTCCATCAGGAAGCTAAAACTAAAGTAAAATCGATTTATCCTGTTCCACCATTTAGCCATGAAATTGAATTAATTCGTGAAAGTTGCTGAAATTTCGAAACTTCCAGGAACAATAACTGTAAATGAAATAACAGTTAATGGAGGAACAATAATAAAGAAGTTGAGCAATGAAATAAAACTATACTGTATCATCGAGCATACAACAAATATCTGATAACAGGGGCTGTTCAAGCGAAATGGGGACAAAGTTTCCGTACAGCTGGGGGAGAAAAAGGGGAGTGACTCGAGCAAGTGTACTCACCCTCCCAGTGGACCCAGGCAAAGTTTCACTTTGACTTTGTACTGAACGATGATACCGAGGTTCTCCCTCTGTGACGGATCCGCAACGCTATTTTCACAAAATAAATTTGATTAATGAATAATTCAGTGGTTTTATTCTGCTGAAATTTATACTGAAAGCCATGCAGTCAAATCCCCTGATGCAGTGATCGAGTGACGTAAGGATGGTTTTAGGATGCCTTCATTGAGTGTCTGAACAGTGACACATGAAAAAAAATAGAAAAACCTAGTGAATCCGCTAGAGAATTCTATTGGATTTGTATTGAATTTTTTATTAGTTTTTCGCCGATTGGATTGAAGAATTTCTCTGCTTTGCTGCATTTTTTTTCTATAGAAAATATCCAATAGAAACTATAGAAATTCCTCGACCTGAATTTTCCAAGTTTTTCCCCTTTATTTTTCTATAAAATCAAACAAAAAAGTCTTGGAAAATTCGAACCGAATTTCTCAAAAGAATAAATTGTATAGAAATATCGAATTCTACTGATTTTTTCTATAGAACATTTTCCATTGAAAATTTCTATAAAAAACCGCACAAACAAGCTGCGGTAATTGCAACAGAATCGGCCAAAATCTAACAGAAATCCAATAGAATTTCCCAATGAATTCCCTAGGATTTCCCACAAAATTCCTTCGTCCAGGTCAAACTCAAAATAAACTTCAACACTGAAGTACCAAAATGAGCAATAAATGAGCCTGAATAATAACTCTGAGTCACTTCGATTATTTTATCTTCAAAAAAATACGAATGCATACAATATTAACGTCCTTATATCACTCAACCACAAGTATTTATCCACCTCGAAACACTCGCTTGAGAGCCTCTCAGAAGGAGTATTAAACCACAAAAAGACATTAAGATAGACTAAAGCAAAGCAGTGCGATAAATAAAGAGTAATAACCACGGGAAAGGGGGATGAAGAAGCATGCGGATGAGATAAATATCGAGAAGTTGTTGGATGCTATGAATACCCCAGTATCGGTACGAAGAAGGTCTTCCGTCAAATGAAATTCTCTGTTTAATCGTTAGTGTCTCTCAGATTATTGAAATTACTCAATTCCATCTGCTAATTACTATCGCTACTGTCTTTGTCGCCACTTCAACGGGTCATCCTCAACGGGTCATAGATAACGAAATTCAACTGAAGGAAGCTATTGATCAAGTTATTGTTAGTGAAGATAATTTGTGGAGGTTTTTGTCGAAAAACCTGGGGAGGAATCGATTGACAAAGAATTGGTGATTTGGTGAGTGAAGCATTGAAGCGGCATACCTAGGGATTTCATCATGTTCCTTTCGACCGACTGATGAGCGAAATAATTGGGGGTCCGGAAAGGAAATTGAATGCGAGAAAATTTCAGGCTCGAGGGATGGGGGATTTTAGTCGGGGAGTCGAAAGGCACGAGGGGAAAATCTGTTGAAGATTATTGAAAAAATCTGTTTCAATAATGCACGGAGAGAAATATTCAGTAAAAATTACGGAACTCACAATTCGCTTACCGACTACGGAATCGACTCAGAAAATTTAAGTGACGGTATCGTAATTTTTCACATGAGATTCAAAAAAAAATTACGGAACACTCAGAAAAATTCAGAAAAATTCAGAAAAATTCAGTGACAGTTCCGTAAAATTTCCTACAGCCACATTTCGCTTCGGAATTACGAAAAAGATATGTAATTTTTATTGAATATTGCTCTCCGCGTGGGGTAGCGTGTTGGATTTTTAGGAATTTTTATCGGGAATGTAGCAGAAAATGTTATAAATCTATCAAAAATTGAAATATTTTTGCGGAATTTTCCATGTAAAATATTGGAGTAATGGAATATTGGGAAATTATAGTTTTTTTTCCATTTCTACTTGAAAATTTGAATTTTTCACTAGATTTATAGCATTGTCTCCTAGAATTTTTGTGAAAAATCGGATTAATGGGATAGAGTCATAATTTTCAGCGGATTTGTCTCTCCATGTGGATCAACTCAACTTCAGAACAAATTTTGCATGAGAATCTCTTTTGTCTTTATGAAAATTGTTAAACAAAATTTGAATCAGAAGCAGGCTTCAGTTACCCCTTAAGGTATATCTCTAGAAAACAGGGTTTTCCCACGATTGTGTTCCTGTTTTTCATAGATAATTTTTATAATATTCCCCAGCTATTGAAAAAATTCTAACTAGGTAATATTCTCATCAACAATATATGACGATATAAAAACTCAATAATTTATGAGAATCTAATGAATTAAGTCGTTCAGATTTTTTTCCAGAAATTCATAGGGACTAACTTTTGGGTGGTATTGTCTTGTCATTTCACTACGAGATTAATTTAAAAATGAGAAAAGTAGTGCGAACTTTTCATGTGTCAAGAGATATCCATCCAAAATTAATTCTGAAGCTGACTTAACTCATCCCATTTTACCCCTTCACTCCCAATTTAATGAATGCAGTGAAGAATTGATGACAAATGGCTCATGAAAGGTGAAACACTGAAAACGAATATCCGGATGGTGATGATTAGGATATTCAAAGGGGTGGAAATTTCCATTCTTCAATTTTCACTCATGATTTTTAGTTTTCTAAAATCGTCTCTATTTTCTCTCAATCACGGCGGTACCTTACGGACATCCCGCGATCGGATCAAACATAAAACATGAACAGAGAAGTCAAGACTCAAGGTACAAAAAAAAAAAATAAAGTAAATATCAGAAAATTAAAAAATTGCAGAAGTATCGTAAACCTCTCGATAACCGCAATTCGTTGGATTTTCAAATTCGAATGAAAAAATTTTGAAAATTTAATGTGAGGCTTACAGGGTGCTGGACGCCAAATTGGTGTCCTCGTGTTTGAGCTGGCCGTCAAGGGCAAGGGCCCATTTATCGGTGTTGTTGGCCAGCAGCGGCGTCAGCGTAAAAACTCTGCTCAGCGTGAAACCAGGACCGACTGTGGTACCCTCCCTATCACAGAACATTACGACAAATTGTCATAGATGTTTATCGATTGGAGAATAAAAAAAATTTTCTGATTGCGTTTAAGAGGGTTGGATTGCTCGCAATGACACAGATCACCGAGATTTTTGGCAGAAACAGAGCGGAATATCTGTTGAATTTACCCCGAGAAGTCCTCAGGAGGAATTCCGTGATGGCAAATTCTCAGAAGGCACTTGAATCTCCTCAAGACTGAAACTTCAGGTGAATCCTTCGTGCCATTATCCCTCGAATGTTATCGTTAGCGTCAGTGTCCCCCTCTCGCTCACCTGAACCGCAATTTAATGTCCAGTTGATGAACATTATCATTTAAACGGAATTGGAAAAAATAACGCGTACGGAAAAACTTCAGAGAAATGAGTAGAGGAGTTTTATAATCGATAGAAAATTCTGTTGGATTTCTGTTGAACTTTCTATTAGTTTTTGGTATTGGAAAAAATCAAGGGAGTTTGATTTTTCAGTAGAACTTACTCGGTTGAGATATTTTCCATGGAAATTCCTCGGCTCAAATTTTGCAAGTTTTTTTGTTTGATTTTTTTCGGTGAAAGGAAAATAAAAAAAGAATAGGAAAAACTGGGAAAATTCGTGTCGAGGAATTTCTATAGAAAGTGTCGCAATAGGAAAAATTATACAGAAAGATCAAATACTACAGCCTTCTTCTATAAAATAGTTTTATTAAAATAGTTTGATATTTTCTATGGAATCGACCAAAAGCTAGTAGAATTTTCTGTACTGTTTCTCACAATTCCTCGTTTTGGTGTTGCATACTTCACAAACCAGACGTCAGCATAATCATAAATTTTAAATAACGTTAAATTTAGAATTAGTCAATTGGTTAATAATATTCAACAATTTTTGAATCATTAAATTAATTATCAATTAAATATTCAAATTGCGAATTATTTTACCAATCAATTATTGAGTTCGAAATTGACGAATATTTCGTTAATCAAAAATTATTTTACGAAATTTAGAATTATTTGCTCAATAGTCAATTGAAAATTTAGATTATGAATTATTTTATTATTTCTTAAATTTTCATGACGATAAGTAAACTTTAATTATTTTAAGGTCCAACTTCTCTTAATACCGATAATCTAATTATTGATGCCGATCCCAGTCCCAAACTAAATAAAAAATTATTTTACGAAATTTAGAATTATTTCCTCAATAGTCAATTGTAAATTTAGATAAGTAAACCTTAATTATTTTAAAGTACACTGTCTCTTAATATCGATAATCTAATGAGTGATGCCGATTCGAGTCCCAAACTCGGAGACATGAAAATCACTACAAAAAATCCCAACAGTCCAAAAATACTATTTCCATCGAATTCCCCAGCTTTTCGTATTTTTTTCGCATTTTTTTCGTACATGAAATTCACATTACTAGACACGCGAGGGAGTATTGCACGTAATTGGGGGTTCTGACGTCATCTATAGCGAGCATTACTCGCGCTCTGTTTGCTTTAGGGATGATTATATCAGTGGTAACGACGCTGTTATGTTTTCGTAACTTTCATTCGTCCAGAGATGTAAAAATATCGGGGGAAATAAAAAAAGATGGATCGTCGGTCGAAAAGACATTGTTTCTTGCATAAGATTTTCATTAGTCACTCGTCATTCTCGTCCACTGGGGTATGCCAGGGGATCAGTGCTGATTTAATTGATAGATTAATCGAAATAAACATTGAGGGGAGATGTTTCAGTGTGAGAAAAATCTCATGAAGGAAATTTTATAGAAAACAGTTGATTTAATCGTTAAATTGACTACAAATCTTGAAACAATTTCCATTTTAATTAAATCTTTGTCTTCAAGAAATCATTAATTTGAATTTAACGAATGGGTTTATTTATTTAAACAAATGAATATTTCCTTGTTTTCCATTAAAAAATCTGTTAATTAAAAACGAAATCGTTGTAATAATCCATTATTTGAAATTAATAAATTATTCATCTCATGTAATTAAACTATTTTCACTGAAATGAACAGAAAAAGTTCAACTGAAGAATTTTATTCGACCCAAATTCATCATTTCTCCAAATCTGATAAAAATGCCGAACTTTCTGGTAAATTTTTTCTGCAGCATCACATTTTTCAATAGTTTTTCTTGACATTCACTTAAAAAATTGAATATCAACGAATGAATAAAATGGATTGGATCAAACCCCAAGATATTATCTCCTACTGAAAAAACTCCGCCAATAAAAAAATACAAAAAAATCGCTGAAAAACGCAACAAAAACGCCAGGATAGAGAATGAGAAACCACCACCGCAAACCCACAGAACACAAAGAAATAAAAAATAATAAAAGGAACATATAGAGAAACAGAACAGAGAATCGAAAAATCGCATACAAAGGGGATGAACATTCCACAATATAATTCCTCCAACACAAAAAATAGAAAAAAAATCTGCAGTCCTAAAAAAATGACATTTCATTCACGAAAGTAAAAGAAGAAACTATTGAATGATACAAATCAAAACTGTTCCGTTACCATTGCAGTTCCTTTTACCAATTCTACATTCGCTAAATAACCGAATGGAGACACTAAACTGTGAACACGACTCGTTCCATGAAACAAGCACCCATTGAATCAAATAATCGGTAATTCAGGCTTAATGGAAAATTCTGTGAAACAGCAGGTGAAAGACAATACGAGAGAGCATGAAATAATGGCGGTGACACAGATTTTTCATTCCCTTGAAATTGCAAAATCTCTCGATTTCCAGTTTAATGTCTCCATTTATATCTCCTCACAAACTGCTATTTGCCCACTCCCATAATTGGCGAAAATGGTTCCGTAATGGCTCACATGGTACTAGATGCTAGATTGGTGTCCTCATGTTTTAGCTGCCCATCTAGGGCGAGGCCACGCTTGTCCTTGTTGTCGGCAAGGGTTGGCGTTAGGGAAAATACCCTGCTCAAGGTGAATCCTGGCGCTACCCCTATACTGCCAGGTGATATCATGTTCATTTTTGTTTCTTATTCATTAATTTATCCAGGTGTTTCAGTCGAAATGGGAGCACCGGGGGAAAATACTAGCTCTGCCGAAAAACTATGCGTTCCAGTGTGAGGTTTTGGGTTTTTTTTATTGAGAGGTTTGGGGTTGCGCAGATGAAAAAATTTAAAGGGAGTCTACTATGAGTTTTTAAAGTCGCGGGGAATTGGAGTGAGAACAAAATAGAAACGAATAATTAGGGTAAACAAATTGATTTTTTATTGTTCGTTTGCTCCGCAGACGCTTGAAATGTTAAAAGTAGTTCAGGGCCTCGAATTTTTGAGCTACAGAGATTTTTTTTTAATTTTTGAAAAAATGTGTGCGATAACAATTGCAGAATTAATTTCGTTTTTTTAAAATAAAGAATTGCACCATTCATGTAACATAGACCGAAAAATGCTTCTGATATTTTAAGTACGAGAACGATCGCGCGCTTGGGCGCGCGTGTTAAAGACAGATCGTGGCACGAAAACCGAAAGCCGAACGAAGTCGAACATGTGCGGATCCGAATGTTCGACTCGAACTTCGAATGAAATTCGAGGAATGAGCGTTACGCTGCAGCTTACGGCGTGTGTTCTTTTTAGTATAGGATTTTAAGGTGAATTTTTGTGCCTATTTTACAAGAATGGCGCAAATTTTTAGATTAAGCAAAACGAAATTAGCTGTGTAGAAGTCGAATTTCACATTTTTTCAAAAATTTGGAGAAAAAAAATATTTTCAACATTTTAAACGTCTACGGGTCAATCGAACAATAAACAATAAATTTTTTGCACTAATCATTCGTTTTTAGATAAATATAATCGATGTACGATGACTTTTAAAACTCATAGGTTCCCTTAATAGAAAAACCTAGTGAATCCGTTAGAAAATTCTATTGAATTTCTATTGAGCTCTATTAGTTTTTGTCAGATTCTATTGAAATGTTCAATTGAAAATATTCTGTAGAAAAAGTCGATAGAATTTTTCAATATAACTTCTTCCATTCAGATATTTTCTATAGAATTTTCTCGGCTCAAATGTTCCAATTTATTGTTCTATTTTCATGATGAAAAAAAAGAAAAATAGAATGAAAAAAATTTGGAGAATTTGAGCCGAGGAAATTCTATAGAAAATAATCTGAAGAGAATAAGTTCTATAGAAAAATTGAATTCTATTGACTTTGTCAAAACGAATAGAAAGTTTAATAGAAATCCAACAGAATTTCCTAAAAAATTCGCTAGGTTTTTCTATTGAATTTTTTCGTGCGTTTGGATGTGATTTATTATTTCATCTCAATTGTTTATTACGTTTGTTGTTTATTATGAACTGAGAGGCTAAACGAGCCAGGCGATTCAAGTAAACGAATAAATAATAAAAATGCACACAAAATTATCATTGGATGATAAAAAAACGTGGCCTTTTCCCTATTATTCAATTATTTTGGCCAGCCTTAACATCTAATAAAAAAAAATTTGCTCATTCCTAAAAAAAAACCTGTGATTTTTCAACTCCAATAGTTCCACCAGTTGTTTTCCCAACCATTTTTCCTCTTCATCTATTTTTATTCATTATTTATATCCTCAGAAGGGGCAATTATCTACAATTCCTGTTCCATTATCTCTCCTATCACGAAAAAATGATTTTTTCAGCGCGAGACATGAGATTTATCGCTGAAAAAGCCAACTCTTCTCATTTCACTCAACAACAATACATAATAAATCCTTGATTAAATCCCACGATGATTAAACATTTGACCTTTAGCATCTCATCCAATGCGGATAAATTCACTAGTTGACAGAGCCAATTATGTGGGTTCATTGCAGTCGCGATGAACCTTAGGGTTACTTAGACTGAAAATTCAAATCCACGTGTGACGTCATCCCACGACAGCTAAAGGTCAAGTATTTAAGGTCAGCTGTGTACACCCGGAAATTCGTTGATGGGATGAGGGAATTAGGGAAAACAGGAAGTTTCTGTGGTGCGAGGGGAGACATTGGAGGGGAAGGGAGGGAGGTAGGGAATAGCCATTTCCCCCGAAGATCCGTGGGGAGCTTTCAATCATTAATTTTCGGTTTGTGTTGCTGCTGACTGATTGGTTTCCGGCACAATTTCAAATATTTATTAATTATTCAGCACTGTTGAACATTTTTGGGGGAAATATCCGGTAAAGTTGGTGGAAATTTTGATCATTTTACAGTTCCACTGAAATTTCAAGGAATTTCGTCATTGAAAGTTCAAAATTTTAGGGAAAAATTAGTTAAAACTGTTAATTATTCTATGAAAATTGATAAAAATGAGGGAGATTCAGGTTAATAGAGAATTTGGTACTGAATATTCATATTTTGATTGGAAATTTAAGCCCATTGGGGAATTATCGTATTTCTGCTGCTCAAAAATTTGGAATTTCGTTGAATTTTCAGTGAAATCTGGAATTTCATGATTTTTTTAAATTAATAGTCAACAGTCCATAAGATTTCAGTTTTTTTTTATAACGGTGAGGGCCAAGGGAGAGAATAATTATCGAATTATGATGGGGCATTGTCATTTGGGCATTTTCTTAGAATTATCTCTAATTAAACTTATTTGTCTAACATTTTGAGGAGATTCAATATAAATTTTTGACGGACTTTACCATAGACTTGTATATTTTCTATGCGAAAAAAATTCTTATATAGGAAAAACATTAATAAATTAAATGATTTTACTTAAAAATTAGACAAATTTTCTCAAAATTTTCGAATCGATCATTAAGAATACGAGAAAATTGCGGAAAAAATTCATAATTCAATGATTCTTTATGTACTTCAATTTCAACATTTTTTGAGATTTTTCACCTGTAGAAATTTCGAGAAAACAATTCCAAAACCCCAAAAAATAAGAATTTTCAAAAAGCCTCATTTAGTTATATTTATGGAAATAGTTTGTATCTGTAAACAAAATTCAAGTCAATCGGTATGAATGAAAAAAATCAAAACCCAATTTTTTCCCATTTTTGTACATTAAGGATGCTGTACGAAAAATTGACCTGAATCCCTCGAATCTCCTTAAGAATAAAAGAAAAACAAATTATTATCAACAAAAAATTGTGCAAAGTACTCACTCGCTCTCCGCCTCGGCGACAATGCACTTGTACTGTGCAGTAGAGAACAAACAGATATCAGCGAATTGTCTCACCGACACCTTGATCTTCTTCACTGTTCTATTACTGTTATTAGCGATGTGTACGTTGACAGCGATATTCTCACCGTGATGATACAGTTCTTTGTCGAGCGATGCTTCCAGGTGTAATCTATTGGGTGACATCATGAACTCTTTACTGACTTCCACCGATGGCTGCTCACCTTGTCTGGACGGTGCGTACATTATTTTACGAATTGCTAATCTCACCGAATTCCTAAAAAATTCATTTCGTTAGTCGCAACGATGCGAGTGTGACTTTTTTCTTTTTTTGCTTCTGAACGGTAGATTTGTAATCGCTCGAATTTAGGTTTCCAGTTTTTTGCGTTAGGGTAACTAAATACCTTGATTGAACCTTGATTAAGCCCGGACTGAAAACGAATTCGAGTCTTGAGAGGGTCTGAATGTAGAATTATTTGACAGAACGAAAATAATGCGCAAAATTTTGATGACATTTCAATTGATGATACTACTATGACATGAAAGAATAGAAGAAGATAATAGTAAAATAATAATTAAAAGAAGAGAATCCATTCGGAAGCAAATTGCTAATTTGTTAGCAACAATAACTATACTCATTGATAAAAAATGCAATTACCCACTTGTTTCTAGATACTTTAGCTAAGGAACGTTTTCTCATTCGTATAATATAGTTCACGTGGAAGTCGGGAAAATTTTGCGTGAGAATTTTTCATTGATCCATCATCACGTTGCTAATTTAAAAACCAATTATCCACTAGCTTAATTTTCCTGACTTCCCAATGGTGCATTATTACTCACGAGTCCCGGCTTTGTGTTTTTCTAATAAACGAAACGATCTTTTAGTAACATTTTCACTCATCCCGAGCCACACCACCATAAAATAATAAAATCATCACCTTTTGTGTGGCCTATCATCCTGCGTCCCTCCGACAAATGTCTTCAGTTCATAATCCACCCCGCACGGTTTTCCCGTGTCACCGGGGGCTGGCTGGAGTGTCACCGAGGCAGGACAATGTGGTGGCAATTCAAAATAAAATGGATAAGCATTTTCCCCTAATTTTTTTAACAGTCTCTCTTGTAATCTCGTGAGTTGTCTGTGGGGTTGACTACTGGGGACTGGGTAGATTTGTTCAGCCGCTAGGTAGAGGTCCTTTCTGAATGTCAGACCGAGCACATCGAGGTCTTCTCGGCCGTACCTGAAGGCCGCCAGGACGTGCCCAAATACTTTTCGATCCTTCACGTATTCTGGATCGATCAAAACTACGCCGTCTGGAACAAGGGGATAAATGCCTTGTTCGTGACTGTGTACAGCTACGATGCCCCTCGATATTATCAAAATTCAAATCGACTCGTGATCATTAACATCATAAATCGGCATCAATCATTAGTTTAAGTTTTTACTTATCTTCCTTGAAATTTGAAAAATGATATGATAATTGGTAATTTAAATTTCTCAATTATTGGTTGATAAAATAACTGGAGGTTTTATAGTCAAGACTTTATATAAGATACCTTAGGCACAGGAGGAGAGTGGAATTCCGGGAATCTGTATACCCCCACTACGCGCGCTTATAGAGAGTCGAAAAATAGGGATCAGCGGTTTGAAATAAGATACCTCGCTCGTTGCGCCTGAATTCTATGGAATATTCATTTTTACTGAATGGATATTGATAACTAATCAATTTATACGAGTTTAATGTTTTGAATTCGTATAGTCCGCATTCCCTTCTCTCGCTAAGCATAACTACGCGTGATAAAATGGCAGCTGATGTTCGGGGATTGTTGGGGGACTTGAGAATAATCAATACTTCTGGACAGCTGAAGTACAAATTATTGAAAGTACGTAAATTAATTGAATTTCAATTAGGCTTTATTCTATTAAGATAATTCTGCGTCATCATTTTAATAATTATAGCGTCGAAGAAAAGAGGTGACCCTTGGGATCGTTTAACCCTTCTGATTACTTCACTTGACTCTCACGTTTTGACTCTTGACCCTTAAGGTCATTTGACCCTTATGATCACTTCGTTGGTCCCTCCCGTTTGACCCTTAACTCCGTTTGATCCTTATAATCACTCTTTTCCCGTTGAAAAATGATCGAGGCCATAGGTATCTTATAAGAAGCCCACGGAACTAAACATTCGGGAGGCGATAAAAGTGCCGGGAGTGGGGGGTAGGCCCCGAGTGCTCGGAGCTCGAGGTATCTTATAGAGAGGTATCCTATATAAAGCCTCGACTTTAATTCAGAATTGAAATATTTAAATTGACGGTTAATTTAATAATCAAAAAATTGGTGAGTGATATTAACAATTGACTCACTGAAAATTTAACTGTAATTAAAAATTATGATTATGCCGAGGTCTGATGATAATTTGGTACTCAAAATTAAAACTCCAAAATTAAGGGTCAGAAACTAAGGGCCACAAGAGGCACAAAATAAGAATCGCGAATTTGATTTTGGCTGGTTGAAAAATTGAAAATAAATACGACGGAAAAAGTTGATTAACTAAAATTTACCGTGACCCCACATGCCAGTGAGGATAACCATCAATTGCATTGCATAACCGCTGGGTTAATATCAATGTTAGGTGTGTGTATCGCTTGACAAGGTCACACGTATGAATTCATTAAGGTCTGTTTATTTTCCACAAGTGTCAATATCATATTCGGTATCACTTTCCACGTCCACCGAGCGCTTCTACGAATTCCAAGAGAAAATAGCTCCTCATTTGGTGTCACTTTCATTCAAAAAATAGTTAATTTGAGAAATCAAATCCGCGAGTTCATCGGCGATTCGCTTTTTGTCCTGGAGTAGGATATTTTTGGGAGCAATCTCTGCCATTGACGGGACCAATATCATCGCCCTGGAGGATTTACCCAGCAGAGCAGCAGACGTTGATCTTATTAAACCCAAATAGATTTCAGGGGATTCCCTTTTTCCCACAATAGGCGGGAGCATCGCGTCTGATTTGATTATCCTGGGATGGATGCCAGGTTATCGAATCGAATTGGTGAAGCTGTCACCCTGAGCTCAAATCTCTGAGCAAAATCAGTCATCTAGAGGAATTGAGCATGCCCAGGTGGAAGACAATTCCAGATAATTCTATTTGATTTCTATTGTACTTTCTATTAGTTTTCAGCCGATTCTATTGAAAGGTCCGACAGAAAATATTCTATAGAGAAAAAATACCCGAATTCGATAGAATGCCAATGCAAATTTTTATTGAGATCGTGTATCGTATTTATTGATCTTATTGAACTCAAATCAATTCCAGGGGATTCACTTTTTTCCACAATACGCAAGAGTATCGCCTCTGATTAAATTGCCCTCGAATGGGTGCCAGGTTATCGAATCGAATTCATTTTAAATTATATTTCAAGTTTAATTCAATTCAGATCGTGTCTTACTTAATAATTCACCACAGAATTTATACGATAATTCATAAGTCATGTGCAATTCTCCTCACCGATTGGATCTACATGTGTGATGTGGTCCACAAAGTCCCTCTTCCCCAGGTAAACCGTCATTTTTCCATTCGGACTCGATTTTTTGAAGACCCTAGTCGGGGGACGTCTGCTGCAATCTGATGCATCTCCGTCCATGGTTCTTCTCTTTTGTCCAACACCCTTATCTAGAACATTTGAGTCTCTCTCGTCCTCCGAGAAATCCGACGTCGAACACTCTGACTGCAAAAAAAAAATAATAAACATTAAAAAATTTTAATAAATTATTAATTCAAATTTAAATTTTCAATTCAATTAAAATTTTTAAATCAAATTAAATCGCTTGATTTTTATTATTAATTTAAATTTAAATTTTTATCGGGATTTAATTAAAATTTTTAGCGGCTATATTTTTGGCTGAAGTTTCCGGTATAGTTTTTAGCAAATTTTTATCGATCCATTTTATCTATCGATGCATTTTTGAAACGAATTTGGAAGTCAATGTTACTCTCCTGAAAATTGTGAACTGTCTCCGAAATTCTAATATTTTTCAAACAGCATTCAAATGAAGATTTCACTGAAAATTTAATGTAATTTGACACTGAATATTCATATTAGATTGGAAATCCAAATAAATTAATGGAATTTTACTGAATGTTCAGTGAAATCTAAAATTTCATGATTTTTTCCCCCTAAATCGCATTCAGTGTCACTGTCCTGCAAATTGTTAGTCAACTGTCCATGAAATTTCATTTTTTCCCACCAGTGCAAGCCATTAATCACAAAACCAAGAATTAATCTTTCAATTCCTTCCAAATTAATAATAAATAAAAAATCATCTCATACTACTCGTCAATTTTCCCGACCGATTTTAATTGTTACCTCGCGAGTGCCGCCTGTTCGATACAATTCACCTATCCTATAATTCTCCCATTCACACCCCGAATCATCCTCATTTCCACCCGCAAATTTCCTCTCCACATCCGCAAAAACCCAGCGACTCCATTCCTAATTGAAAATCCGGAAAATCCACATAATAAAAAATTCCGAGAAATTAATTTTCAAAACTGAAACAGTAGACTGATTGGCTAACGGGATTAAGCCCGTGAAACTTTATAACGAATACAGACATCCCCCCGGGGGCATCCCAGCTTCATCTATACTTAATGAGACCATTTTGTGCCCACAGAACAGGGAGAAACTTTGATAGTAGTTGGCTCGACACTTCAACGCAAATACGTATCCATTAAAGCCGGACGTAATCCATTGCACGTATCCCATCCCCCGAATGTAGAAACATTCATTCGAAAAAGGCGCTGGTGAATATATTTTTTTCAATTCAATTGCACCGACGTCACTCGTCACTTGCATTAATACAACAGTTTGATGAATACACAAAAGACAAGTTGCGCAGTTATTATTTCTGAATGAGAATTTCCCGGTGGCATTCAAACTGCGCACTAGGGTAATGGTTAAACATGTGAATAATCACCTCAGGCATTTTTGCTCTGTCTCTGTCTCTCAAATAATCTTTCGAAAATTGAAGAATTTAATATTTATCTGACCGCAAGAACTGGAGCAAAAAAATCGCGAAGGGTTTTATTTAATTTTTCCTCCAGACACTTTCGGGAGAAAAAGATTTAATTGATGCCTGGAATCATCGATAGACTGTCGCGGGCGGATCGTCAGGCACAGACTGAACAAATCAACGTCACAAGTCTGTCAATTTCATGCTGGGCATGGCCGATCGTAATTCATCAGTGAGATAATATCCCATATAATAAATTTGTCGTTTGTCACACGGCCAGTGCAACCGTCTTATCGACAGTATCATTACTAGTACCAAATGGGAGAATAATCAATGACACGTTTTTATGATCGGTGATAAAGTCAGTGGGGGGTGAGAATGGGTCAATTAATTGTTAAGACTGAATTAGGGACTTGTCGGTGATTTCATTATCAATGATTAATGGCCATTTAGGGACCATTAATCGAGTGGTTGTAATTGTCCATTGAGAATACTCTTCTCTCGGATTGGAAATATAATTTTTCGTAATAACGATAAATACATGAAATTCATCGCAACATAGTCAATGTATTTTTGATAATAAATTAGCAATTTGCTTGCAAATGAAAATTATTGAATGAATAATTATTTAATTGAATGATTTATTGAATTCAACATCGCGGCAATGTTAAAATTTTTTACCTTTTCTCGGATGGAAAATATCATTTTTGATAATAATAATAAAAAAGTGTGTAAAAAGATGGAAATTTTTTTTTAATGAAAATTGAATTGAAAATTTACGTAAATTGAAGATGATTTTCTTTTTATGTTCTCAAATGGGAAATAATGCTTGTGAATTGAAAACAAAGATTTTTAATAAATATTCCTTTTTTCCTCGTAAATGATTTGTTTATCAAAAATAATTTACTGCAATCATTCATCGAGTGAGTTACTGATTACCCCCTCTCAATTGATGAATTCGATTGCATCAGGTTGAACGGAATGAATAAAAAGTGCATTCTCAATATCTATGAATAAACTGGTAAATTCAATTGAGTTTCGTTGAAGAAAAAATTTTCCGAGTTGGAATTAATTTTTTTCTAGTTTCCAAACAGGAAAAAATTGTTCCGCAACGAAAAACAATAATCAATAATCTTCATTAAAAATTCATTTTCCCGCTGGATTTAATTTTATCAAAGATTCACTGCAACCATTTATTGGATGAGTTACTAATTAAAATACTAGTTGCATCGAGTTAGAAAAATGGAGAATACCACAGAACTTCACGAGTTCGAATGAATTTTTTTCAAATCTCCAAAGAGAAAAAGATTATTTCCGAACTAAAACCAATAATTCGCATTGAAAAATCATTTTTCCTCTCGATTTAATTTCTTCATCAAAGATTTCCTCCACTCATTCACTGAATCAGTTACTAATTAAAATACTAATTGCACCGAGTTGAAAACAAAATGAATAAAAAATCTATTCATCCTCGATATAAATCTGTAAATAGACTGTTAGTTTCAGCTGAATTTTCCTCAATAAAAAATATGATGAAAATTACCACAGGATACCTCACGCCGTGCCACAAGCCAATCACTGGAAGATAGAAAAACATTGATCACATTCTACATTCTACATTCAAAACAACGATTTTCATTCAAAATTCCTCTTTCCCTCTGGAATTAATTTCATCAAAGAATCACTGCAGCCATTCACTGAATAAGTTACTAATTACCCCCTGCAAATTAATAAATTCGATTGCATCAATCGTGTTGAAAAAAAATGAAGAATACCATAGAACTTCACGAGTTCAAATGAATTTTTTTCAAGTTTCCAAAGAGAAAAAAATTATTTCCGAACTAAAACCAATAATTCTCATTGAAAAATCATTTTTCCTCTCGATTTAATTTCTTCATCAAAGATTTCCTCCACCCATTCACAGGATAAGTTACTAATTAAAATACTAATTGCACCGAGTTGAAAACAAAATGAATAAAAAATCTATTCATCCTCGATAGAAATCTATAAATAGACTGTTAGTTTCAGCTGAATTTTCCTCAATAAAAAATATGATGAAAATTACCACAGGATACCTCACGCCGTGCCACAAGCCAATCACTGGAAGATAGAAAAACATTGATCACATTCACTGAAAAGGGGTAGGAGGCAATGGAGATATTGAAACCCATGTGAAATGCCACGTGATTACGTTGGCGTTTGGTACATATTGGGTTTCAAGCACTGAGTTTCTGGCTCGTGACGTCATTAGCTGCGGTTAATCAGTGAAGTCTTTGATACGGATCCGAGATATTTGTCACTGCGTTTTGTGCATGATTTATCCATTTTTATTCTCGATTTAATGGTGAAAATTTATTTTTAGAATCTCTCTATTGAGACCAAAACAAAAGGGATTTGTTGCTTTTTCATTGATGAGATAGGATCAAGCGGAGAGGAAATATGAGTGCGCACGCACTAATCCAGAATTAATTCGACAGGAATAACTTTGCGTGAGTGAAGGTTGAGTTTTGCCATGGGTTTATGTGTATTTCTCCGAATTTATACACGGAGAAAAAAGTTGGATAAAAATTACCGAAGAAGTCAACTAATCGTGGAGGGGAATCCGTTGCTAACTATATCGGGGGACGAAGTGCGAGACGAATAGTGAATTTTTCTCCGCTGACTCGCACTGAGGGAAAAATTTGGTCTGCTGGAAAATGTATTCCTCGATAGAGATGTTTTGTTGTGTTGAATTCAATTGAGTTGTAGATAAATAGGTGTTAAATTGCTTTGGTCACAAGATGGGACAATAATTTTTGCTAATAAATTAGCAATTAATGTGTTGAATTGAATTCAATGATTCATTGTATTCATCATTGCCTCAATGCTGACTGCTAACATTGCTCCAACGTTGGTAACTGATATTGCCCCAACGTTGGCAACCAACATTGCCAAAGCGGTAAAACAATTTAAGTTGACTCAACTCTCAGCTGAGTTTTCGAAGAATATCTCGGAATCTAAGAGAGGTAGCGAAATTTTTGTTATAACCTTTTTTGTAGCACCAAAACCGCTCTATAAAAAAGGTTATAATGAAAATTTAGCTATGTGCCTTAGATTCCGAGATATTCATTGAAAACTAACGAATAACTAAACTGTGTTATTGGCAAAAGTGAATAATGTCAAGCGGGGAATATTTACTAAATATGAGGGTAATTTGTGCCGAAACCGTAAAGTTTATCATTCATAACCTTCACTGAAAGTTTAACTGTTCCAGGAGTGATAAATTATCACCAACAACTGACATTAATTAAACTAATTAAACTTATCCGAATCACACTCCCTCAAACAATCAACTCCCACTTTCCGGGGCGAGTGGATTTTCGCCAAAATCTAATTTTTTAGCCGGGTGAACGTTGATTCCAACTATTTAAGCGACGGGCTATTCAGAACTCTCAAAAGTTTGTGGAAAAAGTGAAAACTGAAAAAAAAAAATTTTCACCCGGACCCGAAGGGGTCAGATCTTGGATTTTTTCAGGGGGAAAGTCGGTCAAAGGGTCGCAAGGGTCACGAGGGCCAAAGTGTCAGATCTTGGATTTTTCCAGGGGGAAAGTCGACTTTCGCCAAAATCGAATTTTTTAGCCGGGTGAACGTTGATTCCAACTATTTAAGCGACGGGCTATTCAGAACTCTCAAAAGTTTGTGGAAAAAGTGAAAACTGAAAAAAAAAAATTTTCAC